TTTTTTGCATTCTCTTAAAATGGTAATTTTGTGACACATTTTTCTAATGATCTGTCTTGTTACACAGAAGGTTAATTTCCCTACATACAGGTGAAAGTTGAATTTCTAAAAAACCCACCCTTGTTTCAAATAGCATTTAACATAAAAAGAGAAAGAGAGAGATGGAGAGAGACACAAACGCCAGTGCTGGAAGTATTAAAAGCACGCTCTGAAAACCTCTGTGATGACAGTTTGAAGAAAGCAGCTTTTATGTGCCACTGAGCCCACCTCTACAATGTCTTTTAAATGCAACTGTTTACCTAGAAAATATAAGCAAGGGCCAGAATCTGGACTAGAAGAGGGACCTTTTGATTGCAGACACTGAACTGAATCCTTACCTAATAAATTGTTCCACACCTTTGTCTGAAACAAGAAAAGCAAAGGTCTGCATTTTCTCACAAGAATGCACAAGCCCCCTCTAAAGCAATATGGTTTTCTACATCTAAGTCTCAGTATTTGTTGACTTAAAGAGTTTGTATGAATGACAATGCACATCACTGGTTTGTTACTTCTGTCATCTGTGCTACTGAGTGTACCTTGCCTCAGATCAAAGTTGAAAGCTTCTTAAAAGATACACAAACCACAATGTGACAAATAGCATGCTTTGTTTGACACAGCAAACAAGAAATTACTTTCATCAACACAGGAAAAGAATCCTGTGTTTTCAGTACTAATTCTGAAGACTGCAGTGATGGAACCAGAGCTTTACTTCATCTTCAAGGAATGAGGACCTCTCCAAAGACAAACAGAGAGGACGAAACAATATCAGTGCATTAAATGCTGACAATGGTATGAATTTGAGGCTTGTACTCTACAGTACATCTGTAGAAAATTCACCCTTTACATAATTAAACAGATTTCCCACAAAGTGGAAAATGTCTCCATTAAGCAAATATTAATCTAACCGGAAATTACAGATTAGAACATACACAGCACTTCACAGATACATCCAAATCTAAATATTCATACATCTACAGCATTATACAACCTAGTACCATACACAGGCATCAGAAATATTGCAAACCAGATGGTTTGGGTTTGTTCTTTTTACAGTAACACTACCTAAGTAATTTCCAATGCATTCTTATAAATTATTTGAAAGTTTTGACAAATATAAAGCATTTCAGATCTATAAATCCTTACTAATTTGTGCACTAATAAAGTAAAAAAAAAAATTCACTATGACATATGCTCAATAAAGATCAATGGCCGTGCATGAAAACACATTTGGCTTGGAATCTAATTTGTTCTAAAAATGTACATATACAAATTTCCTTTTAAATGAAGTTTTTCCTTCCCAAGAAGGAAATAATATTTACTTAAAAGATTTTTAATTCAACTATAAACCAGTGACAGCTTTTTCAGTGACTTGAAAGGGCTTTAAATGGGACCTCATAACATCTCTACTACCCTTAGAAAATAAAACTGTGCAGCTTTCCTACCGAGTTAGAAGTACATGCCTGAAAATTAGCAGAAACTGAAAGAAAATGCAAACAGTAAACAAATAACACAACAATGAAAAAATATAGTATGTGTGTGTACACATATGTATAAACAAATATGTATATATTTAATATCTATATGAACAAATAGCAAATGAGATAGAATATTTTTAAACTCCTGAGAAGAAAGAGCAGACACTGTGTTTTTATAATTAAGGATGTCTGACCCAGTTCTCTTAAAAAAAACTTTTAACTGGGCAACTACAAAGCTCTGCAACACGGTGTTCCTTGCTGAGTCAAAGACATGGCTCACATGTGCAGATTTGCCAAAACCTGCCTTCCTCAGTCAGCAGAAATATTTCAAGCTGGAATTCCTCGTTAACACAGTCAGGCTCAGCTCTCATCATTTATGACAGCAGTGCACTTGATTCTTAGAAGAGTTATTGGCTTGTACACTTTCAGCAGCATAAATGTCCTTATTTCCAGTGGGAAAAAAATCTATATTTTTACATATGCAAAGGCCATTGAACATCCTATTCTCTGTCCACACTCTGGAGCTTGGTTTGGAGACAGTAACACAACCCAACATCACTGTAACAATACTACGTAAACACCCTTCAAGGGCTAAGCTTACGAAATGTACAGCACTCACCACTCGTGCTGTTTACAGCACAGACTTTACTTATTGTATCAATATACATTTTTATAACATGTTCTTTTAAAACCACCATTCAGCTGTTGATCAATTTGAAGTAACCTCTACAAAAGTACTGCATTCCTTTCAAATACATTAATATTTTTATTACACTCCTCTAACATCACAAAGTGTAAAAACATATTACAGACAATATCGTGGTATAAAGACCCACTTTCAGTGAAGCTCATTACAGTTGCTATACTAGAAAGTTTGCTTCAAACGTTTGCCCTAGCACTGCTGTTTCTGTATAAAATTTATTCAACCCACACAATTTATGAGCTCTTCCTGAAAGTTACTCTCCTGCCATTGATGACAGCAGGCCACCTGCCTCTGCTAATTAGCAGTACCAAGCTCAGTTGCAGCTCTACAAGAAGAAAATGGATTGGCTCTTAGGCTTGTACATTTTGTTCTAGAAGACCAGAAGCTGTTGAATCTCTGTCTTACTCTTTCAAAAAGACTTTAAAACTTACTACACTGTATGGCACCTCAGATGAGTGCTGCTAACCTGTGGCTACAATTCTCATTTTTCCTTAATCTTAAAAATAATTATGTAAAGATCAACCATTCTAGACAGATCCATAGACTCAGCACTATTTAAACACACAATTAACATTTTTAAATTATATATATGGATAAAACCAGGTATCATTAGTCACTTATTAGTCACCTTCAAAACAGGCAGCGTGTTCATTATGTTAATGTCCTTGGAGTGTTTTAAGCAACCTTTTGCATTTGAAGTGGAGGCTCTTGGTAAGAGGTGGCACTTAATAAGAAATGACAATTACTGAGGCATGGTACTCTCCAGAAGACTGCAGTATGAATTTTAATTTCTTCCTGGCCATGTATTAGCAAAGGCTAATACAGTCATTTTAGTTTAGAAGCAGTAGGAAGTACAGTAAAAGTAAAACCCAAAATAAGAGACAACACTAATCTTCTCTGAGTTTCAATTAAGGCCCAGCACCTCTGGATTAAAGGCTTATTTTAATGAAAAGCCTTAATTAACCATACATGTGTATAGGATCACCTTAATGAGGTATGACAGAAGTAGAAGAGACAGCAAACATTATTTTAAAAGCAGCTTATTAGCAACTTGAAACTCAGTTAAGGATTCCTAAAAAATAGACAAACAAACAAACAAAAAGTAATGCAATACTGAAAAGATACAAGAATGCTGGACCAAGTTCAAGCATAAAACAGTGAAACCAAAAGAGGTATTAGAGGTATTTTTAAGTATCTTTACATTCAAATTGATGCGTATTAATGATTTTTCTACACATCAGTGGGTTTATTTTTGCAAATGTTACAGCCTTTACACTTTCATTTAAATTTTAGACAGCAGAAAATCAAGTTTTCTACTTTATTTGTTAATTTAAATTTATTACTAAAAATCTTTAAAAGTTTATATTGTAAAATATCCCTTTATGGTATTACTGAGTCAGGTTTGGTGTCAGGCTAACTTGCAAGTTCACTTTAGAAACCATTGTTTTATATTTTTATTCCTGTCTTCAGAAACAATCAGTGATTTAATGTAACCTTAAAGATAGCCACTTCAGTTGCTTTTTACATCTTTCCCTACAGTACACAGAGGTATTCTCATCTGCAGATCTGACTTTAAAGTAATTACTTATAATTACAGAGAAGAAGTGCATCCAGTGGATTAATCACTCCATTTACATGCTGCTTGAAGGATTACTCTCAGGACAGCTTCACTGCTTTTGCTTGGAAAATGCCAGTTCCACAAGAAAACAAATCTCTCAAGTTAGTAGCAGCTGAGGAGGACTCTGACAACTATTTAAACCCAAAAGATTAAAGAAATGGCACACCCGGTCTTGAGTCAGCATCTGTACCTGTCCTCCTCCTTTTGGGAAATAAAGGTCTGCTAAGTGTGAATAACCAGGAAAATGTCCAGAGGAAGCCTATGCTCCCAGTAGGGCCTAAAAATACATTTGCACAGTTCTGGATCTGAAGGAAACACATCAGTGGTTCATTAAATACAAGGGCAGTGCTTCTGGCTCAGGAAGTCATGTTCTGAAGCCTGGGCAGTCCCTGAAGGAGCTGCCACTGTACACTAACCCTGGTCTTACTCTCCCCAAGCCAACTGGTTTTTTCCCGTGGACTAATTTTTTTTATATATAAATGGTAACTCTATAGAGTTGCCAAAAACCCAGGTCACCCAGAATGGCAGTAATATAACCACATTTAAAGCCACCACAGCATAACTTCAAATGGGCCACCCTGGCTTTGCTAAATGGAAAGGAAGATGTAAACCCCCCCACCCTACCCAGCCACGCTTAGAAAGAGGTGCAGTCATAGCTACCAAAATAATCACCTTAAAGGTTTTTTTCCCACCAGAACCACCCATGACTGAGCTGATCCCCAGTGCCTCATAGATCAACAGCCAACTGGCACTAACACAGCACAAATAGGGACTCAGTGCTCATCACTAACCAAGGCGGCTACTGGAGCAAAAGGCTGAAGACTCTGCATTCCTGCCACCATCACTAGAAGTCTTGAAAAGCTGGAAAGCTCTGCTAAAAGGCCACTGCTGAAGGAAGCCCTTCCATGTGTGATAATCACATGGCTTCCCTCTCATCTTACCACCTGCCAGCTTAAAAATAGCTCTGAAATTAAAAATACGCATTATAAATTGCAAAATTCAAAGTGAAAAGTAGTCTTCAGGTCAAAATGCACATGAAGTGCTTCCATTAATGCGCGCTACCAGCCCCCACAACACAGACACAGGATCTACAGGGGAGAAAACTAGTGAGCAAGGATGAGGTACACGAAAGTGTGCAGCTTCATTGTCGGGGTGAAAATCCGCAATGAGCCATTTGCAGGGGCAACAACCAGCCACTGGACCGGGCCAGGACAGCCGCCATCCCCCTGAGGAGAGGGGAAGGCTGACTCCCGCTCGGGGCCCTCCCACACAGCGCCTTCCCGTGCGCCCACCGCGCCTGCGCACCCACCTCGGCCGCCATCGCCACGCCGGGGCAGCTGCCGAGAGGCACAGAGGCTGCAGGGCCATGGGCAGGTGCAGGGATGAGGTCTGTGAGGTAAAAAAGGAGACAAGAGTTAAAAAAGAGCGACAAGATCCCGGGCTGGGGGTTGAGGCGAGGCCAGGGGCAAGTTGGTGGTGCCTTGAGGTGGCCTGGCCATGTGGGTTGGGCAATAAGGCGCCGCGCCATTGCGGTGCTTCATGTGAGGGGTGGCGGCGGTGGCAGCGCGGCCACTCTGGTCACCCAGAGGAGGGAGGTAGGCTCGAGCCGTAACTCGAGGGGCACCCAGCTGGCTGCGGCAGCGGTGTGAGCGGTGGCTCCTGTTGACCCCGTCCAGCACTGCAGGGTGTCCCCTCACCCTCTGCCAGCCTCCTCCCTGTTGTTGAGCCTTGTTGCAGGTTTTCCTGCTGCACCGATGAGGATGTTGAGATGGCAGCAGAGCAGCCCCAAAGGGGTTGATGGCGTCATCCGTGCTCTGTGTGGGCTGCCTTGCCCACATTAAACTACTCTGTCAGAACAGTTCAATGAGGTTTATCGCTACGGCTGTTTTTCTTTGCTTCAGCATGAAATTCGTGATTACCATTATTCATCTTGAAGCTATCTCGTGTACGTTATGGGCAGCCCATTGGGGATGAGATGAGAGTGAAAAGAGAGAGGCACGGTCAGTGGTTTATGGATCCGGAGTTAACTTCTGTGCCTGGAGTACATGTTAAGCTGTCTCCCATGGAAGGCCTAGGAGAAAACAAGTAAAATTGTAGGTTTCTGTTGTTGGTGAGGCTGTTTCTGCTGAGAAATATTATTCAAGTTCTTGTACACGTCTGTAGAGCCACATGAATCTTGTAAAATCAGCTAAAATTTATCAATAGAGTATCATGATTTTTACAAAGTACAATTTCACATCTTTTAAAATCAGGCAGAAGGGTGGGGAGAAATGGAGGAATAGCTAGATAAGCCCATTCCCTATATAAAAGTAATATATTCTTGTTTATATTCAGTGTTCTGGAAGGCAAGGTTAGCCTTTGGGATTGTTTTTAATTATATTGAAATAAAAATGTGTTTGGGCATGCCAAACTTTTATAGTCCATAATGAGTTTATTGCATATAATAATTATGGGCTCAGTAATTAAAACTTAAAAATTGCTGCTATTTTATTTAATATAAATGATAAATCAAAGATTTAATTTGATTTTTTATAAGTTAAAACTAGGATGTGTTAGAAACATCAATCTTAAATTTTATATTATGGTAATTGTATATTAGGCTTTAAGTGTGGGAGTTGCATGTGTATAAAAACCTTTGACAAGTCGAAAATATTGGCTGAGACCATAATTTCTTTTAATTTTGTATCATATATATGGTTTTTAAATTGTTTAACAATAATTATTCAAGTTGCAGGAGGTTTTTTTTCTTTTTAGGGCCACTTCTCCGTGCAAGAGACAACAGCAGTGTCTACAGTTACTTTACAGGATCATATAATACACAGTCATCAGCTCCAGTATCTTTCATTAGCAGATTCTTTTAAGTCAAGGACAAGGAATACCATTTACAAAACCGTGAATGAAAAAGTGGTCAGAGCAGTAGTAGATACTGGAGTAAGAAAAAAGTGCTCACCACAAAAACAAGGAAGATACAGAAAGGAGTATGTTCTTGATCCCAGTCCTCCACAGCTAACATTATGTAAACCATTATATTCTGATTTGTGAATTTTTCTTTTTATTTAAAATAAACTAAAATGAGAAATAAAAGCTTTCTTTTCAATAAGATAATTTAATGCTAAACAGCATAAAAACATTATTTAAAGTTTGTCAAAATTCAGCAGTTTAGGCCATCAGGTAAACAATGGAATTACCATCAGTGGCTTGAATGTATCTTCTCATATTTGAAATGTAATAAAAAACATATTACTGTGACAATGAAGGTAAAAATGAATAAGCCAGTGCATCTGGATGAAGAAGAATTCTTCATTAAGGGATGGGAAATCTTTTATACTTTTTTTAATGTTTTGTATAGTGATTGTCATAACTTTCTTTACCTTATAGTCTTAAGCAACCATCAGTGATTTTGATAGAGCATTTATTTGGGGGAATGTTTTAGTATTAAGATTTTTTTAAAGTCTATTTGAAATGGTTTGGTTTATTCCTTCTTCAGTAAAATGACATATACTATGCATTAAATGTATTCTTTGTTAATGTATACCCACCTTTACTCAAAGTTAAAAAGGTTTGTTTTTACAATGGTCCTGGGGCTAAACCCAGGAAGAATTAACACCTGTAGATAAATACCTTTTTCAAATTTAGAAGCAAACATGCAACAAGATAAAAGTCACAGATGTGAGGGCTTGGAATGATGCCTGGTGAGAAAACTCACTTTTAAATAGTATTATAATAATACAGTTGTACAGCAGCGACAGACAATATTGCTTAAAAAAACAAAACCAAGGAGCATCTTAACAGACCAGGAGACTAAATGTGCTTCCCTCCTATTGGTTTCAATCTTGTATTTCCCTTTTCTAAAGGTTTCAACAGTATTCTTGCCATGATCATCTTCGTGTCTCCATCCTTTTGGTTGTCTTGATTTGGCATTTCTTAAAGGACCTTGTGGCTTCACAATTCGCAGTTTTAAGCATAACAAACTTTCATCATCAATAATATTTGTTTTATTTATTCTTTTTCATAAAAATGCCCTTAGGTGCTTCTGAAGATCATGTTGCCTTTGCTATAGTAACTGTCACACTAGTTCCAGCTCTAAAGAGAACCATGTAAATCAATGAGGCTCCATACAAGCACAGGCATCTGCCTTTGGAATCAGTTGAAGGTTAAGAGGGTAACTTAAGATAATACACAACAAGTGAGTATAACAAGTGATAGGACAAACGTAGTAAGACAAGGTGATTATTACTATGTTTACATGGTTATAGTTCTAAAGATGGGAGAATTTCTACTTTGGTTAGTTTTGAACAGTAATTTGAAAGAGTAGAGGATAGTGGAGGGGGCGGAAATAGCAGAGAGGTACTGGTGTTAAAGCAAATGTAAATAATGAGTGACTGTGGAAGCTAAAGGTTGTGGTGAAAAAATGCAGCCCAAGTGTGAGCATGTTCTCTGCAATTATAAGAAAGACGAAGTATTTTCTCTTTAAATCACAGCATTGACTGAAATGTCCCATATGAATGCTCGTGCAAGTGATTCAAAAGAATGTGCTGAGAGATTTTTAAAAATTGCAATTGTTTCTGGGTTTTGCTTATTAGTATTTTCACCTATAGTCTCACATTATTTTAAAATTCTTGTGTCAAGCTTTCTCTTCTTAATAAGAACTGTGTGGTTTAAACCTTACAGCTGTGAATCAACTTGGAAAATGTAACTTTTTCTTCTTGAGTTTGTGGACAATCAAAGAAAATAGCACAGGCCTCTATCATTAAATTTTTCTCATTTAGGGACTCGAGTCCTAAAATCAAATAATAACAGTTTAAAGGTTAATGTATGTAATCATTTTAGGACAAATAACTCAGTTGTAAACGGGCGTGTCAGTAAATGTGTTGGGCTTGTAAACTTGATGCATAAGGATGAAAACTCTTGAATGTCTTGGGCTGTGATAAATGTAGGCTCTCATTGCTTGCATTTATTCAAAGTGCTGCTTTGAGATATCTTCATAGAGCCTTTTGCTTCAACCACATACCCTTCTTGTGTGTCCTGCTGCCAGTTTTCCTTCATCAACTATGTTGTATAAAAGCTTTCCTTCTGAACACCTCTATAGCCTGTCCCTCACAAATAAACCATGTGGTTTATATTATTTAGAAGTTACTTTTTGCCACCAATCTCTTCCTATTTCACAGCTTTAATCATCCATTTGTGAAAGTTTTAAATAAGCATTTTTTCTTACCCTGGGGGTATACAAAAGGCTTTCCACAAAGCCATCTCATTGTCTTCCTTAAAACGGCCTCTGACCACAGTGTTTGGAAGAAAATCAAGGGCAGGCATTTTTTACGTTGTGATACTGTCTTTCATGCTGTGACTGGTTTGCTGTCTTGTTCACTCCCTGTGTATCCAGATTTTGTCATCGTAAAGACCATCACCTGTGTATACTGGACAGTCAAAATGGGATCTTGTTTCCTTACTCATTCATTGATAGCTCAGGTATTACTGTCAGATGAAACTTTGTATATGTTTTTATTGAAACTTTTATCATGTATTTTATAATTTGATTCTTCTTTTGTGGCAGAAACACTGGTCTGTGTGATATATGTCCTTCAAGAGTTGAATGGTCAAGAGGGAGAGCACTCCTGGTTAGGAAAACTTCTTTGTCACTCAGCTACCAATTTCAGCAATTCATGCATAAGCTTTAAGCAAAATACATGTTCTGAACTAGTTTTTAGACTCTAAAAATTTTGCAGGATCCTTCATATTTTTCTTAAAGCTCATATTATTTTTCACCATCAAGAGCACTAGATAAAAGTATTTTACTGCACCAGAATTGATAGACAACACTATTTTATGTTAATACAGTGTATATTTTACATTCTTAAATTACGATGCTGTAAATACACACGTATGCACTTTGCTGCTTGACACGGAGTGGTTTGAATCGTAGCCCATAGCCTGCAGGCAGAGCTGTGAGCTCCTGCACGTGTGGAGGTACTGGATTTGTGTCTGGGTGTTGAGTTGTCCAGAAACTGAAACAGTGTGCCTCTGAGACAGTTCATATATGACTACCGATGTCATCTACGGTATTCATTGATTCAAATTTTCTTTTGATACTTAGGTTTACATGCTTTGCTTACATTTGACTTGATACATTTACAAGGATAACAAAAATAACAAGGTGAGGTCTATGTGAACCAAACCATACGTAGAGAAACCACTTCCCACATTGTTCCAAAAGCATAAATTGACCCAGCTTCAAATCTCAAAGCCATCCTGTTGTTCTGAGATATGGAATCAAATTGATTTACGTTTGAAGGATGTCATGAGCTCACAAGGAAATAGGTTAGGCAGATAGTTCAAATAAAGGGAAGAAAGTACTCCTTACAATTCCTTTAGTACCTCACAAAAGTTCTGTAAAAAGATCAAAGATAGTTCTGTGCAAATTTTAAATGATTAATGATGTACATCTGTAGATGGATGAGCTCAGGAGCAGAATTTTTGTCTCAGAAACTAACAAATTTTATCCTAGAATAATGAGATAATTGAGCACGTGGATCACCAAAACCTGGTTCTTTGGTTTGTTAGGATTCTTTTTCTCTTCATGACTAACTAGTATAATGGCTTTGGATACACAAGTTGTCTGATGGGGTTTGAAAGTTTATACAGAACAAGTAAGTGCTGCCTACTAATGTCTGATTTATGCAAAGATTTTGGTACGAATGAAGGAGTTAAGCCTTTCCTTCCCATTTAGAACTAAAACTCTCATCTAAGTATCATCAGCTTGCGTTCTATTGCATGTCCCTCTTCCTTTCTTGTTTTAGCAAATGTCACTGAGGCCTCACCCTGGACTATTTTTATTGGCTTATTACACATACCTTGGACATTCCTCCACTGACTTTGGTCAGTCCACACAAGCTGCTTCCTCTGGTTTTCAAAGATGACAAACGTCTATTCTTTGCTGCACCTACTAGCATCTCTTTTTACTACTGAGATACTGACACATGATTTTATCTGTCACTTGTGGGGGCAGAGGGGAATATTGTAAGTATTTTCACTGATTCCTTCTTTGAGAAGGCAGAGATTTCATAAGGACATGCAGCAAGGCACCGCACAGTTATCATCTGAGATCAACAAGCTCAGCTGTCACAGTGACACTATCACTGGTGTCTCATGACCATCTCTTTGTTCCTTTACGCTCTTCATTTCTCTTGTGTCTGTCACAGTTTCGCTGTACTTCAGTATTTTGCACCAGCAACAGTTTTTTATTATACTGCTGTAAGAACACAAAAATGCAATGCTGAAGAAAAACCTTTGACGATTTAAAGCTAACAGAGATTTTGTTTATATTGATGGTTTGAAGTTACATTGTTGTGCATTGTTACATTTTCCAGGTAATAATTCCCATCTTAATGGCTGTGAGAAGGTATCAAAATAAATTCACGTTGCTTGGCAAATAAAAGTTTACATTTTTAAAAATTTCCTGTATAAATCCTGTATGTAAGAGAGGTTCTGCCAATTACTGAATAGCTAATTAATCATAAGAAGTATGTTGCCTGCCAGTGGTTTGTCTGATGATAGATTTTTATGAAGTATCTGTATAAAATTTTTAAATAAGTGCATCATCAATGAATTTCACATGAAGAGAATCAATTGTCTGTATCTGTCAACGGGTTTTATTCAGTGATTTTTTGTTGTTATTGTCTACAACTCAGAAATTAGGCCTCGTTGAGCCTCCTTCCCTGCCACTACCTGCTGAAGAATGGATAAAAATAAAGCAAAGATCCATACAGCATGGAGACACCATCCAGCCTTGTGCAATACACAGGGAAGAATTTGCACTTTAACCTCATGTACCTGTATACCTGTGTAGTTGTGTGGACTACACAATTATATATAATATTTTTTTTGCAGAATTATTGCTAAAAATCATTAGCTGGAGGAAGAAAGGAAGAAAACATTCTACTGTAAGAAATCATTTAGCATTTAATAGCTGGACCCAGCAATCAGTGACCAATTCAAAGTATTTTGGACATGACATGGTAGAGAAAGGTTGGTAGTGCTTGTTCACTTCTGAAGTTATGACAGTAGAGGAGAAGTTAATCAGCCTTTTATCTGTTCTTACAAAGCAGATGTAGGCTATATTCTGCTTCATTTAAACTCTTCTTAGATAAGATCCTAGCCTTCATCAGAATGGTGAATATTCACTAATTGTACAATTTAAGATATATTTTGTTTTCCCACAAGTTTTGTTAATTGCAATTTAGTTCAGCAGTTATTTCTATTTGGAAAATGGAAGTAGGTGTAGTCTTAATACCAGTCAGATACTACCTTAGGTTATCTGACAAAATGCTTGCATTTTACCTTCCTGGGTTTATTCAGTGCATGTGTGTAGCATAAGCATAAATACATCATGCATTATTAGATTATCTCATCTATCTTGAAAATACTAAGCAAAAGGGACAAGTGACTGATTGAAGAGGGGTGCTGCTTCAGAGGGGTGCTGATGGTAATTAGAAGGATTATCCCAACTGCTTGCAAGTTTCTTTCCACAGTGCATCTTGGGGTGTTTTTTTCTGCCTGTTTTCCCTTTTAATTTTTCTTGAAGACTTTTCCAGCCAAGTCTGTGATGTGAATCAAGGTCTTTTAATAACCTTAGATACAGGGCTTTTGCTTGTTTTTACATCAACATTAACTGAAGATGTAAAATTGTCCACAGACAGGTGGGATGGATCTGGCAAAAGACCATTCTGCCAGTTTCTGGCTACCCTGAAAATCTAAAGCTTGACAAGAGAGAGCAAAAGACAGCACTCATTAAAAAGGTTACTTCAGATTTGGCACAAAAAGGGAAATGCCTGTGGAATTCTTTTTGTCCTCAGTGTTTCGTTAGCTTTCCTCCCTCAAGGGAAAAAAGCCACTGTATCTGAAAGCTTTCCCTTCAGCTGGCTGCTAGCCATTAATCCTTTTGTGTTTGCCAGCTCAATAGTGCACACTACTCGTTCTGGTTTTCACTCCTTTCCCAGTTTTTCCTTCCTCTAAGAGCCAACTGCCTTTTTTGTCCAACTCTATATCTTTTGTCAGGATGGAGATGATCAGCATTTGGTGGGAATTTAGGTCAGATAAAGGTGAAGTTTTCTTGTAGCCTGTGAACATGCTTTCTCTTTTTTTTTTTTTTTGTATGTGTGAAATGCTGCATTTGATGTATATCACTTCTTGAAATATAGCGTCTATGTGGGGAAAAGGGAAAAAGATTAATCAGCTTTCATTTTAAGTACTTGTTTTAAAATCTTTTTGTCCATTCAGTAGTAGTTGGCATTTCTTGCTTTCTGCCACTCCATGTGTTGCTAACACAAAATTCACACATTGGTTTAAGATTTAATATATTAAGTAATTTTTATGGAAGACTAATTTTATTTTCACTGGAAAGACTTCAGTAGTAACAGAAAGAAACTGATGACCTTTCACGCAGTCAGAATTTTTCTTGTCGGCATTTTTTACTTTTTTACAGCTTTTAGAATGTTTTAAAGTCAGGTTTTGTTGTTTTTTTTTTTTTCCTTTGAAAAACAGGTGCTGCTTTCATGTTCTCATGTATTCCGTAAAGTGAGTACATTTTTATATAACTATTCAAGCATATAATACATTAGTATTTTAAACTACTTAAGTGAATATCTTAATGAATTAAAAGCAATCATCTTGAAAAGTAATTTTGATTCCATATTTTTATGGTAAGAAATATAATTTAAGGCTATTTTATGATGAAGCACTTTATTCTGTTTTATTACCTTTTCTAGAACCATACGGGAAAACATAGTTTGTAACTGAGCTATACAATTGTACACTAAGCAGGAATAGTTTAATTCATGAAGTTTCATGCAAATATATGGAGATTTACAAATTTCTTTTAACATTTTATTTATAAAAATATACCTCTTATAGAGTGTTCACGGATTGATGAATAAACCATTTTTATATTCTGTAATCTATCCTGTTTCATCTGTTCCAGTGATATGAAATATATCGTACATAATTGCAATTCTTTTTTCAGGCATGCCTGAAAGCTTTTGAAAAATTTACAGGTAAAAAGTCTTGTCCTATGTGTAGAAAAGAGCAGTATCAGACCAGAGTAATACATGATGGGGCACGTTTGTTTAAAATACAGTGTGCTATTAGGCAAGCCTTACTTCTGCTACAGGTGTTGTCACTGGACAATATTTCTAAATAATGTTCCAAATGGGTTAAAACTTTAATATAATAAGGAACCAGACAGAATGAATGCACTACAAAAGTTAAAGTTTTTTAAAAATGCATAAAATGATTGTTTCGTATAAATAGTACAAGTTTATAAATTTGAGTTTCCTATTCTTGAGCAAAATTGTGTCTTACAGAATTCAAGCTTACTGGAGGGCATATATTGTTAGAAAATGGTATAAAAACTCCAGAAAATCAGTGCCTCCTAAAGATAGCAAATTAAGAAAACAATTCTTTGAGAAAAAGGTTGTGTTGCATTTGCTTCTTTGGTTTGATTCAGCCCTCTTAAATCAAAACTCCTGAATATCACCTCTCTACCTTTTCATTTATTCCTTCTTATTCATGTCAAACAGGCAGCACTGGAGGCACTCGGTTGTTTGTTAGTCTGTTCATTCCATCCTCTTTACAGTGTAGAAGTAAGGAAAATAATTTAAATATTTAATTTTAAGGCCTGCCTTTTGCCTAGGCCAGCAATAGTGGGCTTTTTATGAGGCCCTGTATTTCCCTTCTGTTTTTGATAAATCGCAGTAATCTGTTTTCTTATAGAATTATATGAAGGGGGTATAGTAAGGGGAGAAATAAATAAAACCATAAACAATCCTAACTTCTTTTCACTGTCATTCTTTTTTCACTGGACACTGAACTGGATAGATTCCATTCCATAGCTTTGTCCTTCCCTAACTTCTGCTCAGAAGCAGACTGTAATAAATTAGGGTCCTGACCCCACACAAATGAGGCCAAATCAGGTGCGAGCATTTTGCAATGACCCTGCTTGCCTTTTAGCACACAGCTGCTGCAGTCCCTGTGCAATCCTCAAGTCCTCCTTTGCCATCTTACAGTCTTCCCCCAGTTTAGTAACAGCCAGCCCAGCTCAACTTTTCAGGAATGAAAACTGCTCTAACCCATCCTCAGCAATTACCAAAGCGTCTGTCCCTCAGGGAGCGAGAGAAGCCATCTTCCAGTCCAGATTACCGAGCAGCCTGGTTAACAGAGATTAATAAAGCCACACAAGAAGCCATTTAAATGTAGCTAGTCTGTGCAACTACGAAAAGACTCTTACCCGAGTTGCAAGCTAAATCAGTGGTAGGTTTAAACCCATACTTAAATTGATTGCTTAGTTGTTTTTTTTTTTTTAAATCACTGCTTTAGCTAAACAGAAGAGCGTTTGCAGAAAAAGACTTGTTACTGTCTGTCATTATTTCTCACGCCTGCTTGGTTGTATCCTGTCCGAGGAGAACTCTGGAGGCAAAGACCCTCTCTTGCTATATTACATATTTATGTATGACGGTAAGATTGGTACCCGAAAGGTGATCTGGCAGTCTGATGCAACAAAGCTGGTACCACTGTGCTGCCTGTGTGGTAACAGCAGAAGGGGAGAAAGAGGAAATACTGTTCTCAGCCTTAATCCTGAGACAGCTTGCTGGTTGCTATGCTACCTCTGTAATCAATGCAAAGTCCGTCCCTGTAACAGAGAAAATTAACATGGAGGTAACTGAAGAAAGCTAAAGTTACACTTGAAAGTGCTCAAACACTTAAGTTTGGAAGAAGTGAAACATGCGGTGGATTGTGACTGTCCTCAAGTAGCATGATGAGAACAGACAACAGAAACACTTAGATTTTTCTGCATGGATGGCTGGGGAAACAGTTGTATGCTTCTTTCACAATAAGATTGTCAGTTTTCTGGGGGCTCATGATACTGTGCTTAGCTATAAACAGGGTCTCAGTAAAGGGAAGTTGAAGAAGGCTTCTGAATATGCTGAAAGTTGCAGCTGAATGTCATTTGTTAAAATTTCTGTGACTGAACTTCAGATGGCGACAGTGGCACTCTGTCAAGCTACCTACAATGGGCTGGCTTCCAGGGCCCCTACCTTAGATACCTGTTCTAGGGAGAAACAGCCTGATAGACTGCCCACAGTTCATCCCATGGTTATACACCATGGGAAAGTCTTCATTTAACATCATTTCCATACATAGTCCACAGCATGAGGAAATCATCCTCACATCTAACACCTAAGGATTTTGCAGGGAAAAAAACGGGCACTGCTTTTTCACCTTATATTAAGGATTCATTTATAAAGTCTTCTCATATGGAACAGCCAGGTTTAAATGAATTCAGTACCAATTGTGATTAAAGGATATATAATTATTTTTCTTAGTGGCTTTCAAGTGGGAATGGTAGATGAGTTTTCCTGCTGTTTGCTCTTATACTTTTAAGTGTTGGCAATGAAAACACTAAAGAAATTTTTCACAAGGATCTATCCACTTTCAGATGCTAAAAAGCTTTTCTAAAATAAATTTTAGCTACTCAAAATTGTGCTGTGCCTTTAAAATGTCACTCCCTAAACATTAGCATAATCAAATGACATCACAGTTGGAAAAAAAAATCTAGCTTTTAATAACCCTAGATTCTCTGGAAAGATCACAAAGGTTAAATGTCAAGTTTCATAAACTTAAATAAATACCACAAAATAAAAAACAAGGTCTGAAATATTAGTACTAGGAAGGACATATATTACTTGTTTTAGGGTGTTACAGTAGCCCCTTATTACACCTTTCATTAAAATTTTTAATAATATAGATCAAAGGAGATAAGAAAGGTCACTGAAACCAAAGCAGGCTACTTTTTAGCACTACTATACACAGAGAGCAGGGTGTTGCTTCAGCATGTTAGGTAGTGAATTTCTTTGATCCTACCTATAAATGTCACTTCTGTATGTCATTTAATTGTGGTATAGTCTTTTATTGGTGCAATTAAGTCTTTTCAAATGCATTACATTATCTCCAGCTTCGCTAAAAATCTTGCCATTGTTTAGGAAGGAGGTAAGTCATTGTGAAATGATGTGGTTGACTTTAGTTTCTTCCTCCCCCCTCTGCATGATTTCTCCCAACGATTTTAATTTAAATCTCACCAAACAGGATAATGGTCCTGGAATTTGTTTAGTCGTTTGACTTCCTTTATCACATGGAGATGGTAAACATTCTGTTGCTAACTTGAAGTGGCTCCAAGCAGCAAAACTAGGAGGATATTAAACCAGTAAAAGCTTATCAACTGATTCATTGATATGCTGTAAATTCCAGCCTTTTCATTTTACTTTTGAGGGTTGCCATAAGTCAACACATTAGTAAGCAATTTGCTGACATTGGATCACTTAAAAAGGCTTCCCTGTGGACAAAGTTCACCCCGGTGCTTTGTTTCATCGTTTTATTTTATCATAGTCTTGTACAGATGACTGATGTAGTTTTGCATACCGATAGAGTATTTCAAACATTCAGTTTATACCATTCTATTCAAGTTTTAAAAGTCACAGACATAAAATAGAGAGGCATAATGTTTTCAGAAATAAATTACTCAGTTTCAGATGTTCCAGGAAAAAAAAAAAAAAAAAGCTATTCAGGATTATGCATTAAAACACAGCAGGCTTTAGTCGTTAAATCCTGGAACATGTTAACACTAACAAATTATACAAAATACTTATTTCCTTTCTGTTCACATTGATAGTTCTCATTGGTTTGCCTGTTAGCAAAAATTTTGGGTTACATTTCTGTTACACTTTTTTTTCTTTCCAACCTTAGACTTTATTTACTGATTGACAGATATGGGTTGGGTCAGGTCATACTGCAAAAAATACAGGAGTAGCTCAAAGCAGATAGTATCTTAGCAGCAGGGGAACTTAACAGATCAATGTCTCGGGCAGAAGAGTTTTCCTCTATTTTTACAGTTTCTGCTCAAGGAGGCTCACGAGAGGACTGGCAGGCTCACTTAGTGCAATGGGGTGCAAGCTCAGGGAAGAAATGGAGAGCTTCTCCCTGCCGAGGGGAGAGGGCACAAGCAGCCCAGGCGCGGACAAGGGGTCGCTGTTTGCTTAATGCACCCCCTGCTTTCAGCTCTCCTTGGTTAGTTTTCCTCAGCAGCCTGTCTAGTCAGAGTGTAGTTCATAAAGAGAGGCCCAGTCCTGAAACCAACCCTGTAGTGTTTGCAGTGCTCTCACATTCACAGAAATAGACACTGGATAAGGGCGGAGTTAAAACACAGTTGCTTTTCCTCAAATGTTGGGTCCTGAGAGGCTATTAGAAAGCATCATCATGCTTGCTGTAGCTTCCTATTGCATCCCCCTAGCCTTCTTATGAAAACGATTCAGGTGTGTGCAAGTTTGATACCGATGTAAGTGAAGACCGAGCATAAATCAGGACCAAAAGTGCAAATGGACCAACCTTTATTTGATGTTGAACAGAATCCATGAATGATATAAGGTTTAGGTGTAATCTTAGTCTGTTCTTCCTGAAGTCAGCTTTTGAAATTAAATCCGTAAGAGCAGTTAAAATTGCGATGTGGAATAGATTCAGTTCTAGAACCTAGGTAACAACAGTTCAGATAAAACATACTAGGACTGTTATTGTTTAATTAAATACATAATCCCATTAAAATATTAAAGACATAACCTGATTAAAGTGTAGTGCATTAGTATTTCATGTCTCATTCAGGAAGCCCACAGTGTCATCGCTGAGGATTGTTTGGAGACCACAAAGTGTAAATATTGAAGGAGGCCTGTGGTAGGATTCTTGTTTGTTTGTTTTTTTGTTTTACACATACCACTGAAGGTCAGTGTGCATGCTTCTGTGGGATAGAATCAGATTTTTTTCTTTCTTGTCAGTGAACAAGGGAGGGGAACACAAGATTACCATCTGCTCTTTGCTAGACATAGAATTCTCTCACAGTACAGAAAGGGCTGCTGCTTTTCCCATCATATGATTTAAATACATACACTATACAAGGGGGCTCAGGTGATTTTTTTCTTTTTTTTTTCCTTTTTTAAGTTATGTTAGTTAACACTGATGTACCAACTTGGTAACTAAATCCGATTTGTATTGACAAATGGATACATCCTTTCAATATACTGTTGTATTAGGGATCATGTGGAAGTACAGTAAGTCATAATAGGTTTCAGTTAGCAGTGAATCAGACCATAAAATAAAAAGAATACACAGGATCAAATCTGACATCAAGCAACAAACAACTTGCCCTACACGATGGTTTTCACCATCTCCCCTACCTGGAAGTTTCTAATCGTTTCTAAAGTCTTTATTGAGAAACATTATTGGTTTCACTGGAAGACACTTTCATACTTGCACATTATATGGACGTAATTTAAAAAACATTAACTGGTGAGGTTTTTCCATAGTTTTAGAAGGAAATTTAGGAAATTCAAAGTTTAAATGAGACCTTAGAATGTTAAGTGAGCTTTTCAGATAGTTTCTGTGGGGTTTTTGTGGGATTCAGGCTGATTCCTTCGGGTCTAAAAAAGTTCACTTTGAATATTCTGATATGCGCTATGAGCAGTTCATTAGCAGTTGTAAAGGAGCACAGGTCCTGGTAGAGAAAAGCTACCCAAAAAAAAGATGAAATGAAACAATAGGAAAGTGTTCAGGTATCATCAGGCTGTCTGACCCTGACAACAGCCCTTCTGCCACCTCACCTCTCACCTCCCATTCCATCCCTCCTGGGAAGACAGCTCCCTGTTTTCCTGTCAAGTTTTCACTCACAGGAGTGCACCGAGAGAAAGGCTCACAGTGCATGCTCATGGTGCAGGTGTTGAAATGTTCCTTACAACTGCTGAAAGCATTTACGAGCAGAGTCACAAAAGACAAGTCGAAGACTTGTGTGACTCCCTACAGAACTTTCAGATACTGTGGTAACAACGAGAGAAAGTGGCCACAGTGAATTGGGATTGCACTCAAGGAGCTGATTAAGGAAAGCATTCATTGCTTTTAGGTATTTATTTTGCTGAACACAGATGGGAGTATCTTCAGATATGACCGCCAGATTGCTTAGGCCTATGTGCAATATGCAAATACATATTTAAGGCAGTAGGACATAAAAGTCTGTATCAAGGACAACACCCGAGATGCCTCTTCTCACACTGGTTATCGTGCCTTTAACCCCACAGCAGATGCAATGGGTTCCCATCAAATAACCAATGCTCAGCTAAGTTCTGGACTTCCTTTCTCTAACACAGCTGTACCCTCTGTGCTGCACCTGTATGGGTTAAGAATAGCACAACCATCTTGGGAAAGTTCAGTGATGAAAATCCTGTGTTTTCTCTGAAGGACAGTGGTCCAACAGTAGAGTCTGGGGACCTGATGCTTCTAACCTCTAAATCAGCTCTGGACACCAGCTGCAAATTGGAACAATATTCCATAGATCACGTCATGTGGGTCAGGCTCACTTGTCCAATCACTCACAGTTCATTCACATATGAACTACCTGTAAGTAACTCCAGATCTAACAGCAGTCGTTTTTCTCTTCAGGTTCAACAAATCAGCAACTGACTGTTGAGTTCTTATGACATCAACCTAGATGGATTTTTTTCTGAAATAGATTCTTCTGTAGCCACAAGTCAAGATGTGTTTCAGCAATTGACAGGAAAAGAAGTATTATTAAGTGAAACTGACTGGGAGAAGATCCAGATGCAGGTTGGTTGGCTTTTCTTTCCTTTTAAAGTACATTTGCATTTATAAGCTCTTTTATGCTCTTTCTAGGCATGGCAGTCTTTTCAGCACAATTGAGTGTTTTCTGTTTTCTTAAATTTTGGTCCATCTGTTCCAAACCAGAAATATTAAAAGCTTTTACAGTTCAGAGGTTTACCTCAGCAGCATCTCTGTTCTACTCAGGTATCGAGCCCAAAGCAGCTGCAGACAAAACTGAGACTCAAAATGTTAATAGTTTCTCAAAATATGTTACAGTCAAAATTTGAACATTTGAATTCGCATACTGCCGATATGTTTACCTTCCACTGTTTCACTACAGGTTGGTCTGGTTTTACTCAGGCAGTTCAGCAAGAGATATTTGACTGTCCTATCTGTGTCATGCCACTCAGTCCAACAATTCATCCTGGTCATCTCTCTCCTGGTAACAGCAATCAGTTTTCACAACAGACTGTTCTGCTTTCTCGTTCATAGTTGTTTCATCATACCTGTCTTCAAGCATTTGCAGAGTTTTCCTTGGGAGAGTGACATATTAGTCCTCTATGTCACTCATATTATCAAAAGAAATTCCTCAGATTTGGTACATATAGCTCATAATGAACTACCTCGTAGATCATAGCTGACGACACATGCACTTCTAACTCCAGAGCCTTTTCAGAGCCAGATCTTCCAAGAACAAATGATTTTGTATGGACAATGGTACTCACCTTGTATTTAGAGAAAGAAAAGTTAGAAGGATGATGTTGCTTCCCTTTCATACTCGGTTTCACCATTAGTCTTCCAGCATTTTCATTCTTCCTCCCTCTGTCACTCCCACCTTCCTCCATTTTCATTTCCCTTTCCCAAAATAAGCCACAGTTGTTTCAGGCTTTGTGTTCATTCAAGCAATATCCTGGTATTATCCCTCACCTGTTTTTTTTACACCTGATTTGCTGCAGCACAGGTTCCCATGTCCCACAAGGGCTGCTGCTACTGACTGCAGCTGGTAGTTGTAGCAAGAAAAACTTTTTTTTTTTTCCTTTTTCTTCAGCCACGTTTACTAACCAGAAGCCTGGCTGCTGCTTCTGCTTGAATGACTGACCAATTCCAGAGCTGTAGGTAGATAAAACTGGCCCTCAAAGATGCATGATCATTTCAGAACGTCAGAGAACCTGGAACCACAGTATGTACTGACCACTTTCAAGAGAAACAAAAGCATGATTATGACTTCTCAGCTATGCATTGCTGAAACAAAGTCAGGTCACCACAGGTAGTTTATAAGAAAAGTACAAGGACATAAAGACAGAAATCAGAAGGTAAACCAAAATGAAATAGCAACATATCAAGGTAACAAGAAAATTCATTTTGCATAAAAAGGCAGTAACTGATCAGACGGATTGCTTCCCAGTAATACCAGCAAGGTCAAATTGTCTCATGCGTTGAGGTGGTCACCACAATACTAGGTGTATGGGTTTACAGTTTTAAGCTGGAAGTGGGAAAGGCTGTATAAGAAGATTGTCAGAGAAAAAGTGCTTTACAGATCGGTTGCTGATTGACTCTGCTTTTGGGCAGCCAGAAAGCTGCCTGCAGGGCTTTCAGAGATGGCTGTGAGAACTTGTGAAGATTGTGTGACACACTGATAAACCTGTCTTGAAATGGGGGAGGAGGGAAGAAATCCTAGAGAAATGCAGAAATTAGTTTCACTTTATTTCCCAGAAAAACACTGGTACAAGAAGAGAATCATATCAAGCCAATTCAGTTTGTTTCTGTAACAAGACACGGTCCTGCAGATGAAGCAGAAAACATCATAAAAAATTAAAGTGCAAAATATACACTCATGTAGGAATAACTTCGTGTATGAGATGACTCACATCTTATGCACATAGCATCTAGAGATATAGAAAAACATCCAGAAGTATATTTGAGAACACAAGCTCAGTATGAATAAATGATGTTGAAAAAAAAAAAAAAAAAAAACAAAAAAAAAAAACAACAACCAACCAAAGTACTGAAGACATGATGGAGTGTAAGGGCTCCAGCTTGGAGTTTGTGTCCAGTTCTGAGCTCTGCATTTCTAGAAACACCTGAGGGTCCCCACAGGAAGCAAAAAGGATTATGAGAGGCCTACAGAAAACACCTGAGGGAATTGGGGGTCATTTCTTCCTAAGATAAAGGAAAAGGTAACCTTTCTGGTGTGGAAAAAGCTGGTGCAAGCAGAAAGACTTGTCTTACTATGGACATGTGAGAACCAACGAGAGACACTTAGGAAACCTTGGACAATTAAACACTGGAACATACCACCTAGAGACAGCCCAGGAATTGCATCGCAGATAGTCCCTGCCAGGCTGGTTAAACACCAGCAGTAATGTGGGTACATTTGATCCTGTGCAGCTGAACAGAGCAGACATCTCCAGCCCCCCTCCAGCCACCTGATTCTGGAATATCCAAAACGGCCCAAAATCTCCCATGAAATGGGGAGGAAAGTCTGAAGCTGTTTAAGTTTCAAATAGTTTAGGAAACATGCCTATCAGGTTTTTAATACATAAAAATTGCCCTTCAGTCAAACTATTAAGCTATTGGAAATTACTTACACATTACATAATGAGCATCCTCATCTACAAACAAACCCCACTTGCCTAAAGTAAAGGGTTCAGATTAATTGTGCACCTGCCAAACACAGAGCTGTAATGCTTCTCAATGTACAGGAATCTCTATCACATACCATATACCACGTATTTTAAAAACATGACCATTTAAGAATCTCCAAAGCATGTTAAACTGGGTGGAGGAAGGAAGAAGAGAGAGGAATGCAACTATTCATATCAACTACTGACCAGGTAATTTAGAACGCTGCAGATTTTTTTCTTATTCATGGCTTAAAATAAAACCAAAAAAAAAAGGCAAAACTCCACTATGAATCACACTTTATTGAAAACACAGTTAAAAAAAAAAAATCTTCTACAAAACATTCAGTGCAACATTTCAAACAAAGGAAAAAACACCACCACCACTGCTTTTCACAAAAAATTCAACCTGGATAAGGCGGCAAGTATTTTCATTTAGTTTTGTAACACAACAAAGTATCCACAACTGAGAATATTATAAAACGTATTTCTGAATGACCTAAAATAAACCAGGAGGGGTTTGATAGGGAGAAGGTACGTACGTGAAAAATTGTAATTGTTCTCATTAAAGTAACAGTAAAAGCATAAGTTTTCAGCTATATTTAACCTTGGTCCAGGACACATCCATGTGAAACAGACATCGGTTGCTCAAGACTGCAGAGTTTAAGAAGTCTTAAGCAGAAATCAAGCCAAGAGGGGACCGCCCATTCCATTCACTATCTCAGTCTCATACACAGTTAAGGTTGTGCGTAAATTTTCTTTTTTGTAAACTGAAATTTAACCAGTAACACTACAGTGATAAAACCTGAAAGTGCATGACAGAAGCCATCTGCTGCCATTGTTATGGCACCAGCAGTAGCAAAATCCATAGAAGCGCTGTATTGTTATGGTTGCATCACCCAAGTCCATGTACAGCCAATCCCGTGTGATGAGAGGGCCAGCAGCACTCCGATCCTCAGCCTCCTCAGCAGGAATTTTGGAGACAAAGCTTTGTGAAGATAGGTGCAATGAGTATCTTCTATTTAGGTAGAGTTGGGTTCCTGACCCCACAAGAAAGTAAAGGAAATCCAGCCATATTTTTTGTCTACAAGCATGTTTCATACACTTTAAGATTTCAAACCCAAGCCCAAATGTACCTTCATTTTCTATCTATTTGTTTTTAAAGCAATAGAAGTCGGGCCAAATAAGACAAAAATACTTTGAAACCTACCTTTAAAAAAAAAAAAAAAAAAGTGCTCAACTTTGTTTTGCTGTATAAAGACAGGGAAGAGAAAGTGAATCACACAGGTTTTATGAATCTAAGTATTTTGGCCCAGATTGGGAAAACTCGTGGTTAGGGGGAAAACAGAAGTCACGCACCAGTTGATTTTCTCCTTAAGCATTTAAACACATCCATCATATTCACAATACGGGTACAGCCATCATACCTCTTTTTCCTAATGATCGTTTTACATGGCAAGAGAAGGTCCAGAACATGCTCATAGGCCTGAACTACAACACATACAGAAAACGCATGAAGAGTCTTACCTTGGCACCATGCAAAGTTTGACTTTGGTCAAAACAGGAGTGTGTTACACACTGCCAACACACCGGAACAACGCGTCTCGATGGCCAATCAAGTGAGGCAGCAAGGCACATCGAGAGCTGTAGTCTTACTCTACAAATTGCAAGGAAGATAACTGAGGAGTGGTTCCACAGAACATCAGCTACTCCAGAGTAGCTGCCATCGGCATGGGCTCAAATACGCTGGACAAGCACGTTACTCTCACTAAGAGGTGGGTCGGTTGCCTCACACTACTGAAAGTTAAAAGCACATATATTTGCATCTCACTCCCAATTCAAACTTCGATGAGCTCTTGGTAATTCGTTAGAGGACCCACTCTAATGACAGGATTGCTTTAATGGAATCTAGTGATAAAAAAAAAGATCAACTACAAATGAATGAATAAATACTAACATTTCCATAATGGAAAAACATTTCTAACTAAGGAATGTCTCTGTTAGACTATCTGGGAAATGAAATCCATTAAAATCAAAGCAAGTGCACTGATACTTCAGTAGCTGGTATCTATGAAAACACTGAATATGAGGAATGCAAATTAAAGCACTGTTCATTAAAGGAGCTTTATCCAGTGATGTCGACTATAAAACTTAATGTAAAGGGGGGGTAGGGGTGTAGAAGCAACAGCAGTACTTGAGGTTAATATACAACAAACATTTAGAAGCAGTATCCCAAAGTGCTCATGTGGGTACAAATTAATAGTCAGATACCTAAAGCCTTTAAGAATTGAGATTTCCTAATTTTTATGTTTATGTGAGGCCTTCATACAGATACAGCTTTTAAATAGCTTGGAGTTAGCACGACAGAATTATCAACATTTACAGGGTACTTCTAACACTCTCTCTTTGACCGTTTGGAGTGACATTGTATATTTGTTAAAACTTTTAATGCTATGTCTATAAAAAAAAAAATCTAAGCAATAAACTGAAAGAGTTATTTAGAAAAATATGGTAATTAATACAGAACTAGCAAGCATCCTCAGGTTTTCTGTTGCCAAGACAGAGCTGTCTTCAGAACTTTAGAGGCTTCTACAAATTTAAAGTCAAGGATACTGCTGCACTGTGAATCACAAAAGAGATTTTAAGAATTTATGAAGGTCTTTTCAGTGTCAGTGAATTACTGGAATATTTAGAGAACATACAATTAATTTTCATACACTAACAATACATGTGTTTCTCTTTGAAAGAAGAGTTCTAGGTGCTTCAGTTATGAAACATTTCAAAAGAACCTTCCCATTTGTGTTTCCTTCTGGTATATATTCTTACAGATCTTACATCAGATCAATATATCTATATTGTTCTGTTAGCTCATATTTTGTCTATATCAAGAGCAGCATCTTCTTAACATCAATGTCACCAAATAAGGTAGTGAATGACTTGAAAACATTAAAACGGAAAGCAAGCCAAGATGTTAGATGTCTTCAAGAATTAAGGCCGGATTTAGAAAAAAGCTTAATTTGCCCCTGAATTTCATGACCTTGATTTTACATAAATTTTACTAACATGGAATCTTAATGATTGACTAGGTAAAGAATGGAAAACAGACTGCACAGGTGAGTTCCACGTCATTTCCCCCAGCTAACCCCTCCCCAGTTACTGGGCGCAGTGGGGATTCTGGAAGTCACACTTAGCATTAAGTCCCCACAAGATGGGTTCTCCTTCCTAAGATTCTGACTGATATTGTCAGGCTTTAATTGTTAAAATGACACGTGCAGGAGATCCTCTCAGGATGTGGTCAGGGGGGACACGGTTCTGTGCAGAACCATGCGACATTCCTGAGACAGCAAGAAGCCATTCACAGAATGGCCTGCACAGGAACCTACAGCCAGAAAATCCTGAACGAGTTCTTAGTCCCAACACAATGGAACAGAGCAGAACAGTGCAGTTCAAGAACATGCACAGCTATCACCTGGAAACCCAGAGAGTTTGCATCCCAACCAAAAGCAACTCAATGCAGCAACTAAAACTGTGTGACAGACAGACAAACCGCAGGCTGACCTCATGCCTTGAGCAGAAAAGCACCACAGCAGCTTCTGGTGACAGCGTCAGAGACAGTTTGCCTGAGGTGAGGGCACTGGGCAGGGTAAAAAAAAGGTGGCAGAGTCTATCACCACCTGGGTGATAGCTGTTGGCTTACATTGCTGTCCCTGAGTGGGATGGATTCAAGCCCAGCATTTTTGTAAAGTTCAAATACTGTTAATGCGACTGAGATCACTTGCCAGTTTACCAATAGTAAATTCAATATTGGGGAGCTCAAGATTCCAGCTCATGAAATATGCGAGTTGGGGAGGGAAGTTAGCGTATGCAATATTGTCTCAAGTCAGCACTAAAATAACAACAAAAATACTAACACTAGAGGGTAGGAGATCTTATTTCCTTAAAACATTTAAAGGTTCACAGTTCACATCAACACTTTTTTTAAACAAAACTAAGCATGTTTCTTTTAAAGAGGTTAACACAGCATGGCCTTAGCATACTGTCTCTGCTTGTATTACTTTACTTGGATTTTAAAAATTGCTATTTTAAAAAAATCAGAGTATATGTAAAACAACATGGTTTAGCTGTCTTCCTCTATTTGGTATATCAAGATCGTAGATGCTAGTCCACTAAGCGAAGGGCTCAGCTGCTGTACGTACACCACCTCAGCTTCTAGAAGAGGAGGAAAAGAAAGGAAAATAACCTAGAACATTCTTGCAAAAATTCAAGGAAAATCATGGGCATGAAGCAGCCAATTGCTCTTTGTTTCTACCTTATTCTTTTCTAATTTAGATTGTAAATTCTTTACGAAAAGGGCCATCTTGTCTTTACTACGCAGCAGTGGGCACATGTGAGCACCTGAAGGAGCATCAGCTGCTGCAGAGTCATACGGGCGAGCAGGAGAGACCTGGTGGGCCAGACGAGGGCTGCAGCCCCCTTCACACGCATCACTCCTGGCAACACACTGGAGAGAGTGTCACACTGTAGCACCCACTCGCATGTGCGTCCCGTTCAGCACACGCCTGCACGAGAGCCTGTCTGCACAGACCTGTGCCTCGATGGTACTCGAGGTGGTACTTCGGAACCAGACAAGGAAAACAACTTGTCAAATCCTTTAATTTATATGACACTAAAACAGTCAACAGGGTAAAAGGTATAGGAAGAACAGGGCCAGAGGTAAACATCACATTACAGAGAGTATACAAAGCTTCCTATGAATGCAAAAAACTGTTACTTGTACAGTAACCAATGCTATTATTTTTTAGCTTAAAGTGATAAAGTATGTGTGCTTTATGCTTAGAAATCCCACAATACTACAGTTCTGCCACTGAATTTAATATTGTGCTACCAACACAGAATAAAGCCAAGAAATGGCTAACTTAAAACACCTAGTTTCTATCTATTTTTTGGTCTTGTGTGGTATCTAGTTGAAGATGGAAGCATTTATGTGCTTTTTGCCTCATAAGAAGTGAGGCAGATGTTAATGTTACTAAGATCAGCTGTATATACCTTGAAGGTATAGACCACCTGACTCTACATGAGTCAAAATACTAGGAATGTATTGTCAATATCCATTAATGAATTACCAGTTGCTTGTATTTAAGTGACCATATGCTTCTGTGAAAAGTATATAGTGACCTGTATCTTACACATAGTATATTTGTAGCATTTTATCTGTAAAGTTTTGCATAAGCATGTCATTTTCAAGGCCAAAGGCATATTTTAATGTGAACGGTGTCACAATATAAACAGCTGATTTTAAAACAAAAGACTGTCAGTAGTTGCACAGGGTAGTCCTGAATTTCTTGCCCACCTTGAAAACCACACAGCATCTTAACCATCCTCCATATTTCATTGTCAAATCTTCACTAACGCAGCCTTAACCCGTACATCCCTCTGACTGCAGAATCCAGCAGGAGTGGGAAGAGGCAAGGCTGTAACATTTGTTTTGAAAGAGTTTTAAATTCTTTCCTGAAGCTTGTGTGCTTATCTTCAGGAACTGTCTCTGCTCAACTGAAGTAATTGCCCAACTTGCTTTCAGAAACCACATACACATGATAATCCCATCTATTTTTATGTTCTTGGGTCACTGATGCCAGGACAAACACCTCTCCAAAAGCATGAAAAGCAAGACCTACACTGGTTCACACTCCCTAGATTTATTCCTTAAATTAATTTCTTCAGTTACACAGAGTGTATTTAAATAACTGTCTTAAAAGTTGAAATGGAAATATTTTTATAAAGCTAACTAGCCTCACACACCACAACTCACCAGTCCCATTAAGACATGACAACAATTTTGGTCACAGTCACTTGCATGGACAAGTGAATTCATTTCTGTTCTTTGTAACTATAATGCTAATAGACAAGGCTACAAGCTCTGAGAATACCTGAATGACACCCCTAATAATAAATCTCTCAATATTTTAATTGTAAACACATTTTTAAACAACTTTTAATTACAGCTCCCTGCTCTTGGTTGCAGAACTTTGACTCAGACAAAGATTTCTCACTAAAATGTCAGCATTAAACTTAAACAACAAAGATGCTTGTAAATCTTAGTGAAATCAAGCAATTTTACTTTGTCTTCCAAGACTGAGTACAACACATCAATAGTCAGTTTAATAAGCCTTGAATTTACACTAATCACACAAAAAAAAAGTAACTCTCTAGTATCGTATCTACTACAGCAGTATTTACATTATGCCCCAGTTCCAGTCAGAAAAGGCAGCTGCAAAAAGAAAAAAAAAAAAAAAAAAAAACCCACACCAACCCCAACTGAAAAACCCTCGTGTATACTGGAGCTGGATTTCTGAAGCACTCTAGGGGAAAAAAAAAAAAAGCTCACATTCACACACACAGCAGCAAGGTCTAAAGCCCAGAGCAGTCACCTCAGGAGTACAGTCAAAGAGTTTCTCACACAAAGTTTATCTTATTTTAGAACCACACGGGAGAGCTAGTTGTCACCACCTGACCATGTAGAAGACCTCAAACGCCAGACAGACATACCTGTTTTACAGAAATGGGAAATAAACAGGAACGTTATCTGACTTGCTAGATAATGGGCACAGACTGAAAGTGTCCCCATTCCAATCTGTTTGAAGATTGCTTGTGGTAGAGCAGGACAGAAGTGCAACCAGATTTTGAATACTTACTTGGGTTTTGGTTGGTGGGCTTTTTCTTTACTATAAACTGCTTGAAGGATTCCTAAGGCTGCAGTAATGCTAAGAAAAAGGATGTTACCACCCACTGATGCCATCCCAAATCTAAGGCCTCTGAGCAGTCAAACTGTAACACCACAGAAATTCATACTACCAAGAGTGAACACACAAGTTTTACTTACCAAGCCACCTATGTCCTCTCCATAAGCTTAGAATTTAATTTATGGTAGCTACACATATAGGCCTATACACATGTTCAGGTATACATTAAAAAACAGGCTAGTGAAAGATACTGGATTATGCCACTGAACAGAAATCCTAGTAACTATGGTATAAATTCAGGGAAATAATTTACTTCAAATTAAAGAAGATTGTAAAAAACTGCAATTGCAGCCTCCTAGGCCTGTGCTACTTGCATTGATTACAAGTACTGCTTATACACAGTAGTTCAAAAAAGAATTTTACAGGGATGTACTTGGTAGGGTGACCTCCACGGCACAACAGCTCACAGAACTGTAAGAGCTGTGACAGGGGTCTACACAGCTTTTTACAAAGCATACTAGGCTCAGATTTAACACTGAAGTTAATCTTCATCTTGTACTTCACTCTTCAATAAGACATTGTCTGACTACCAGTAAAGCAACTGGCATTTATAGCTAAAAACAGAAAGCTGAAAACGCTGGCCTTCCAAAAAAGCTTCATGACATCAGACCATGAACAGCTTGCTGCGTCCAGCACGAAAGGAACTAGGATTGCCACCAGTTACTCTCATTTTTACCATGTTCTTAGTGGAACTGTTTATCTACTGTGAAGGATACCTACTCCAGGTAGTTTACATTTCCAGTAAGGGTCATATTGGGCTTCAAGTGTATCTGTTTTCCTTCTTTTTTTTTTTTTTTAACCAAGTCCCAAAGTTACTCTTTATAGCTGTGTCTGTGTAACACAGGAGGTACTGTGCATTCAAATGGTAGCAGGTTTGTAACTAAAGATGTGAGACTGACAACAAATAAAAAGGAATGCGTTATTCTCTTCAGCTTCCAATCTTCAAGGCACCTCCTGTATTAACTTACTGGGAAATAAACACGCAAACCAAAAGTTCACTGGAAAGAGAAGAAGCTGATACCTAACTTCCTCAGAAGCACACAGCATCAAAAAATGAGACAAGGTTGGACCCAAATTATCAACAAACAGAATCAATATAAAAATGCTGATGAGATGCCAGGAATGCCATGAGGTTGATGTTTTCAGCTCTGTTGATTGCAGGCGATTGTTAATCACAGTGTTTTCTGATGCCCATTTGCAGACGGCTTTGTCTCTGACTCTCTTGGATTGTTTGACAGATGAAGTTTATCTAATCCTGTAAAACATTACACAATACAGAAAAACTGAGATTCTCCCATGTTTCTTGCACATAGGTATTCAAAAGAATACATACAAACCAAATCCTACTTTGTGATTAAGGGCTTCATGTTTGTTGAGGACCAGAATTGACATTCTAGCTCAGGTAAGAATTACTTGCAGGAAACTCCCTCTGTTGTGTTTTAAGTGAGAAAAGTCCATTACAGTGGACAATCACAGAAGCAAGAGAAGCCTTATATCACAGACTTAGATGTTAAGAACCAAGAGACTTGCAATCCTTTACTCTGTCAACCTAGAAAGACCAAAACAATTAACTAAAATATTTCCTTTAAACTAGAGCATCTTTCTGAAAAGCATCCATTGCTGACCTTAAGAACATTGGTGATGACCACATCACCTCTCTAAACTCTTTATATGTCTAATAATATATGTCTAAATATTTTATTACTAATTTGTTTATCTCCACTTCCAGCCATTTGTTCTTATTGCATAATTCTCTACTATGAGTGCTAATTAAAGTCTCACATCCTGCCCCAGGCAAGTAAACTACTCTTTTTTTTTCCTTTTGGGAGGGGGGGAGGTAGGAAAAGATGGTAAATTTAGACATAATTTATTCACTAGAGGCATGGTGTCAGACCTTCCTTGCTTGCTACAGTCTCTCTCTGAAGTTTCCTATCAAATCTATAAAATTAAAAATCAAAAATGGGAAGAGCTTCTTACTCATTTAGTGTAGACTATATTGAACATTTTACTGATGTGCCATGATGTATCAAGTTAAAATTTCTTGCATCACTGGAATTCCAAAATTCACTGCACTACTAGAAAATAAAATCTACTCGATATCATATTATTTGTAATTCCCAATACTACATGAATTATTTTCGTCTGCAAGCAGGAATTTATCTTGCACTAATTAGCTATGATGCTCCACCAACCTCTAGTCCTCAGCGTCACAGTTTTCAACATGGAGGAAAAATGAGCAGACAAATTTTGGTTCTCATTCTTTGAATTCCATGTGACAGTTTTTAAGACATTGTTATGTGTAGCGTTGAAATCAAACCCAGTTTGCATCAGGAACCTGCGCTCTTTGGGATTTATAACTCCCTCTGTGTCACATGCAAACCTTTTACCAATTACTTTGCTTTTCCATTTTGATCACAATATTTACACAAAATCTCACAATATGTGATAGCAAGAGGCCAAAAATACCCCTAAAAATCCACTAAATGATGCCATCCAGTGACTATTATCCTACTACACCTGCATGTTGAAGTTTGTTAATCTGTTTTCATCTATTACAATGTTTAATAAGTGCCATGAATTCTCAAGATACATCTTTTATATCATTTGCTTTAAGACAGAAATGTTAAAGTTTTACCAGACCCGCTGCTATAAGGCTATGCTTACTGATGCTAATTTATTTCCTTCAGAGCTCTACATGAGCCATTACATTATACAAAGTAATCCCTTTACAGTCAAATCAGTTGCACAAAAATATAGGATTATGCAAGTCAGCTGAAAGAGATGAATCAAAGTCTTCTCATAAAATGACCTTAACTAAAAGCTGGGGGATAATGACAAATACATCATATTCACATCATATCTGTCTCAATCAACAACAGAACTTCTCTGAAAATATTTTCAGCATAAAAGTCAATGGACAGGTTTATACATCCCTGGCCCAGTAATCCATTCCCCTGGAGCTTAAAAACTCAACATCAAAAAAATCACAGAACAGCTTGTTTTACACCTACACTATTAGCCATTTCATATTTCCCTATTTAGTAGGTCTGATTTTAACTTAATCGCCACTAGTAGAGGTGTACTCTAGGAAGTGCTTGGATTTTGTTTACCAGGGTCACAACTCTGGAAAGCAGTAATTGGTGAAAACTAACATAAGTACCTTTTAGACACTGCAAACTGAATCCACAGTTATATACAATCAAGGAAATTTTACCATTAGTTCTCTCAATTTAAGCAAATACTACTCCATGGTTCTAAAGAGGTAGGAGCTTCATTAATTAGTAAAGTCAGATGTAGTAACAACACAATTACTAAATATGTACCTTTAATCCTCTCAGTATCAAATATGTTTCAAGCCCTTCTGCTATGGCCATGAAGCATGAATGCACAATTTGATCAAAATTTTGATTATAAGTAGTACAAATTTTACTCAGCCAGTTACTAAGATTCTGGTTATTCTGTACAAAGATTGCCTGAACAGGCAGTGCTCAAAAAAAAAGGATCACAACAAAGCAGATAAGACTTTCACTAAACTAATTTTAAGGAATAAGTTGCTTTAAACAAAAGGGAAAAAAAGCCAACCCATACACAAATTGAAGTTTTATTTTGGAATAATTGCTCAGTATCAATGAGAATGTTTCTGTCCTCTCTAAAGGCTGAGAAATCTAACTGCAGGTCAGAAAGTACACAGACATATCATTAAGACCAACACTTTATCTCAGCTCTCAACTCCAAAAATAAAACAAAGCTATGCATTCTCATCTTAACTTACAGAAACTTCACAAGAAAAAAAAAATTCTGTGATTTGTAACACAACTTTACTAGCAGCACATCAAGGTATCAGTGCTGGAGAAAGGAAATGTTCAAGTATAAACTAAATTTTCAGTACTCTGTTACCTAGTGCCTTCAGGAGCTCTTCTCGCACAGCGGAAGTGAACTTTCTGACCAGACATAATGTCGTCATGATAGCAAAAAGCATGTTGTAAGACAATACAATATAGAAGTTTCCCAGCCAGTTAAACCTTCCGAAGTCTCCAAGCAGATCAAATCTGGTGATTCCTGTTAAAATTGCATTTAAGATTTACATCAGAACGTTGATTACATTTTTTAAGAAACACAAAAATTTCACTCTATTACTTTTTACGTATGGAAGAAAAATTTTCAGACAACACACTATAAGACACATGGTTAAACACAAAAGACAATGTTCTCAAGGTAATTTTCCATTTTAATGACCACTACAGAACTGTAAAGAAACATATTGCTAAGTGTGTCTAAGTTTCCTAGTAAAATGCCTGAATAATGCAACTTGAAGTAAATTGTCTATTCTAAGAATTCTGCTTTTATAATTTCAATAAATATAACTAGGAAGAAAAAACAGTATTAGTACCAAAACTGCTTGAAATCTCAGTTTCTACAAAATCCTTATCTATTCCAGAAAAGGATGAAATGCACCATGGGCTTTCTTATTAAAAAATACAGGTAGCAAAAAGCCTTTCCACGAGAGCCACGACATCCTACAGTAAACACTAAGCCTTTGCAAGTGTTTTTTTCAGACTCGCTGCTTTTGAAACCAAAGTTTAAAGACACCTTTCCAACTGCAGTTTTTCTCCTAGATCTACCCACCACTACAGCCACAGAGCATTTGCACAGGAGGAAATGAGTCTGGCTGAAAGACAGTGCTGTCATTTTCACAGCGGACTTCGTAACACTGACACTTGGGCTTTGTGCACATCAAAGGTGAGTCAATCACTAAAGCTAAGTGAACAAAATTTTTCCAAAACGCGGACGTGTCTGAGCTGTAGGTTCTATCCCAAAAGGCAAAAGAGGCAGAGCCACAGGTTGCTCCTTTGACAGGTCTACATCAAGGACTTCAGTGAGTAAGCGATGGAACACTGAGATGATACCCAAATAACAGTTGTCTGTGATAATATTCCCAAAAAACTTTTGGCACAGGTGATGTCACAGTGATGGGTGCTTTCACGGTTGAGACGAACAGTGCGAAGGAAGGAAGCTTACCTCACCCCAGAACAAAAAATGTCAGCAGAAAACTAGGCAATGAGAAAAAAACCCTGGCTCTAAAGTCCCTGGAAGTGAGTTTTCTATCATCTTATTCTGAAAGTGTTTGGGAGCTTTTAGGAACTGTGACTTCAGTAGTGATAATAAATGAAGAGAGACAGAATTAAGGGTCAGTTGCCTTCCTTTCAAGGGTAAACCTGGCCCTTACGAATCTCATTGTACCTTGACATTCAAGACTTACAGCCAGCTATCACAATCTTAAAAGATACACATGCTTCTTGTACTCAGCATCAATCACTTAAAAAATATGGGACTCAAATTTGGTATCTAAGGAAAACACGCCAAAATGAAGAAAATTAAAAGAAGAAGAAGTTTCAAAGGATAAAGCAAAAAAAAAAAAAAAACAACTGAAACTGATCAAAATAGCAAGAGAGGCAGAGAGAAATATCAAAAAAGCACAGAAGGTCTTAGCACAAAAAGAAGAAATTGGCTGACTAAATTAACTAGTAAACTGATGAAGCACAACAAACAGAGTTGCTTTCACACTTGAAGGCAAACAGCGTCCTTAACATTTTTCAAAGCAGAGTGGTTTAGTCAGACAGTAGAGCTACAGGAAAATTGAGAAAGTCAGCTTTAAGCATAGAGGCTTCCAGACCTTTAAAGGAAAAGAAACAAAACAGGTAGAGCACTGGGTAAAAAGTTCTCTGGAAAAGAAATAATACTCCTTGACACAAAGAGGTTCAGAAGTATAGCTAGCTAGCAGTAGTGCAGGTGTTATAAGGACAAACAAAAATGAAGCCTGACACTTCTGTTAGAGCAGATGGGAAAAATATTGTTTATAAATTACATTTCTTTTCCTCTTAAAAATAAAAAACAAAAAAGTCACTGCTCATCAGAAAACTTCTGACACAGTATCATTTTGTACATTTGGGGGAGAAAAGGGTTAAAATCTTTTGACTACTTTCTTATAGAAGTATCATCTAAACCTACAGAGAAAAAAATTCCCAAAACTGCAATCTGAAAAACTCCTCAGTAACTGAACAGAAAACTAATTCTCTAGTGGACACAAGTATATAACCAAGAAAGTTGGTGACAATTTGCCTAATAAAATAGTAAAGAATTAACCAGGTTGAAAAAAAATTAAATAGACTTATTAGACTTTTTTTTTTTTAACCTGAATAATTCTTTAATATGCAAGAGTAGAGAATATTCTTTAATATTTTAGGAAGACTTCTGTACATTAGAAAATTCATTTTTGTTTGTAACTCTTTGTTTCTGTATTCTTGACTACTAAGTGCCCTGATCCCAATTTGTTTCTCAGTGGTTAGCAATATGGTGCTGGTGGGAAACATTTTTGAAGAAGGACTTCTAAAAGGTTGAAAAGTTCTGGGAAAAAATCAGTTAAATAAGTTATTCTACAGTTATTCTACTAAAATAAATTTAGCAACAGGTTCCCAGGAGTTCTAAAGGAATGACAGAGTAGACACACCACCTCCATATCTAATGAGAATACTATGAAACATGTAAAAAATTCTCCTATTTCCATTTTTAAAACTTGAAAAAGGTCAGCACATGTATTCGGTAACTTTTGCTTTTTTACCTTTCCCATAATGATAAAGACTAATCTCTTCTCTATAGTCCAGAAACTTGCTTTTTTAATAAAGTGAAAAGACTATGAATCTGCTTAACATATTTATTTCTTTTCATCTATTCAGTGCCACAGGGCGGTAGCATGTAGTGCAACACATGTTGATATTTCTGCAAAGCACCACATGACTCACTGTACTCTAACACACTCTATTAATCCTGTTTGGACAGCTGTGACTGTGCATTTGTTAGCTGTGTGTTAATTGTTCCATCTTTTTTCTTCTTTTATTTATCTCTATGGCAAACTATTCAGGAATTTCATTTGTTAGTCTTTTTTTTTTAAAAGTGAATTTTACCATTAATCTGTTTCCTATGAGACAACAATGCACCCAGCATGTATACTTACATTCACAGAATCCATTTATTATCAACTGTTAATCTCATAGATCATTATCAATGATTTTTTTTTTTTTTAAGTGATGAATGAGTAACTTAGTGGACACAATAGTAATGTTAAAATTCTATTCTAAAACCTTAATTTTTCAACATCACAACATCTTGCTCTAAGTGCTAGAACTGTTTTACTTCTTCGATCTTTATCATGCTGTTCATATTTTAAAACCGCACTACTTTAAATATTTGGATTATTCTTTTGCATTTTTTGTGAAGTTTTACTACAGATTTTTAAAACATGAGCCCTAGAATGTGCATGTTAAGGATTCAACCTTTCAAAATGCATTACAGGAGTTTTTTTGCTCGTTATAAAAATTATCAAGTAAATCTAATAAAACTCATCATTTGTAGATATACTCAGCATGAAAATATACAGTATAGTTTACTGGAAAAATATTAACTACTCTTGATTTGACAGTATTCTGGTCGAAAAATCAGCTACAGAAATACTGAGTACACATTACTGGTCTGTGGGCCCGAGTTTAAACTCCTAAACTTGTACTTAAGACTCAGACAGCCTGAGGTGAAGATTTTTGTTCCGTTAATAGCCTTTCAATCTAACTTCAAGAATTCAAATTGAAGATTACCTAATTAAACAAAGTAAAGATACAAAACATCTTGTCTTTCCAACTGGTTAAAATAATTTTTCCACTTAAAATGCTACCGCCAGATGTTAACAATAAAATCAGAACTTCAGTTCTACTACGCTGGATTCCAAATTTTTGTATTTGGAAACTGAACTAATAAAGAATGCAAGCAGATTATTTTAAGGAAAATGAAAGTAAACTGGTGTCATTGCTGACAAAAAACATAATTCAGAGTATTAACTGTTTTTAAAAATACATTTGCACTCAATGTTATCTCAAATTTTATACCTGAAATCCCCAAATGTATTTTTTCACAAAAACTGAGCACTGTAATTTCACAGTGAATACGAAACTATTTTATACTGCCCTGAACAAGCAGTCTCCATATCTATTCTTCTCACCATTGCCTGGTTTTAAGAAGTTTAAAATCTGACCTACCTTGTTAAAATAATATACTCTCTAGAAATGCTTAGCATCTTTCTTTAGAATGTATGTTCTGCAGTTCATGCATGTAGAATGTACGTTCAACAGCTCATGTTGGTGTAGAAAAGGTGGCACATACATGCTCTTTCTACTGTAAGTAATGGCAAATTAAATACATACTATAAAAGGCACAGCTACAGGCAGGGTTTTTTTTGTTGGTTTTGTTTTTGTTTTTTTTTTTAATTCAATTAAACATCCTTTACTACAATGTTTAATACTTCCATTTCACTTACCCAGTGTCCTTGACATCACTGGCAAAGCAGAGCTCAGCACCAAGATTGAGACACAGTTTCCAATGATCTGTTTGAAAATGACAAACAGCATTTAAATTATAAATGGGATGGCTGAAGGGGGGAAAAAGAGGAAAAAAAAAAGAAAAACACTAGTAAAGATGAAAAAGAATTCCTGAAAGTTACATTCTTCAAAGTGAACCTAAAGCAATTTACAATAACATACTCTTAGTCTTGCTTACTTCTGTCACACTTCTCCATAAAATGTTACACAAGATGGAGATGATCCAAGAGAGGAGTTTAAAAAAAGTCAAATACATAATCATTTGCTTTTAATCAAAGTGTTACGTATGCTTAGATTCAAAATAATTCAAAACTACCATGCTGCAAAACGTCAACTGTTTACTTAATTTCTGCAAACTTTTTATAGAGGAACCATTACATGGGTTTAGAATAGATGACTGATACATCAGCTTAAGCTTTGTATGCAACTGCTTGCAGGATTAGCATTATTTTAATAATTACAACAAAGAGCTTCCTTTCAATTGAATGCCTGTTGACTACTTTAAATAGTATGAAAAAATTCACAGCGTTAGATTTTACTCTAGTTTTTGTGAAGCCTCTATGAAGAGTAATTGAAACTTTCTCTCACAACGGATCAATTTCTTCAGCTCTAATTCTATCAGAATCCAAAAGAAAAAAACAGAAAACTTCTTGAAAGTAGGTAGACATTTGTGCATTCACTATTTATTTCTATGCTATTCCTGGTGTACTGTAAACTACCAATAGAAAAGATTAAGAACATTCCAACTCCCTACTACCTATCTACTATAACCATTCTGCGTGTTTATCTACTTACTCACTTTCAACAATTTATGGTAAGACAAACAAACAATGAAACACATTGAAAAATAATTAAATTCAACATCTGTTCCTTGGTTACTGATCACCTCCCGTTGTCAGCTGTGGGAATATTTTGCCAAAAACCTAAGCATGTTCCTCTGAGTTAGGTAACAGCATTTGTTATTCTGAAGCCTGTGCTAAATTGTAGAAACTCAAATTAGACTCAGATTGCAAAATGCTGCTGAATAGACCTCCTCAGTCTTAGTTTAATTATTCAAATTTGAATCACTTCGTCTGTATTACTTCTAGCAACCAAGTTCTTCAGATTTCAAACAAGCTCCCTGAAGTACAGTTAGCACAATCAAAGTTACTCATTAGCAATACGTTTCCTTTGAAAAAAGTTCTTTCACTAGCTTTTCTATAGCTAGTTAACAAGCTCCGCTATTCCCCGCTTTTTACAAGTGAATGGATGCCATCCAAACTAAACAGAGCACATCCTTTTTCCCACTCATTCAGCATTTTGAAAATCTTCCAGTTTGTGTTTACGCAGCTTACAAACAAATACTGATCACTGCAAATGAGCCATTCAGGGCAATTACTAACTAAAAGGGTCAGTTTGTCTTGGGTGGCAAGAAAGAGGAGGGGGCCATACCATCACAGACTTTACCTCACCTTTGTCATAGTTGTGTCATCCTTCCTGGGAGTGAAATTTTCAAAAAAACGAAGACTGTAGAAGCCGACGACAGAGGATACCATAAGATAGCTGTGAGAATCAAGGAAAAAGGAACCTCCGAGGAATGCAAGTTTCACTCAAGTTCTCAGCAGTCTCCTAAAAGTCTTAAGGACCAAAGAAAAAAAAACAAAAACACTTCGAGTGCTTGAGAAGGGCTGTCCTATCTCTTTCTTCTTTCCAGGCAAGTGTCTTAGTAAATTACCAGTGTCCCAGAAAACGAGACATAATACTTGTTAACAGACAGAATTCTTAGAGAAAGGATACAAAATCAAAATGATTTCAAGTGCTGCTCCCACAAAACCAAAGGTGGATAGGGAGGCATTTCCTATTCCGGGTCCCTACAAGGAGAAAAATACGTTGTATAATTCAATATGAACAGCTGCACGTTATCTTAAAAGTTAATTTCTACCAGGACCAAAAACCTGACATCTAACATGAAATACAGCCTCTTCTCAATTTGATAGTTAAAGGGCATTCTGACGTTCTAACCTGCAAGTCTCCCATTCTATGCCATTGCAGCTGCTAGTTTTCACACTTGATTGAAATATGTTACTGAAACAGAAGGTATAATGATCCACACTCTATGCATGCTGTATCTACCCACCATGCTGTATTTTATACTTACTCCATTACTTTGGAAACTAAAATAAGAGGTCTCAGAAGACGACATTTCTAGTTGTTCACAATACCACAAGCAGAGTGGCCATCACCACTAAATACCTTCTATAGCTCTGTAAGCTCATATGCAGAGGAAAGCATTACTAAGTTAATAAAAAAAAACCTTGTGACTAAAGATTACTACACAATGTGCTGCTATTTACTCTCTTGAAGTATTTTTATAATAAAGGAGGAAAGTGTCATGTTTTCTATGAGGAACACAAACCAAGACAGGATTTTCATATCGGTTTTTAACAGTTTCTTAAATTGAACATTTCTAGTCCATATAAAAAGTAGGAGACCTGAGTAAAATGCAGACTCCAGGTGACTGATTTACTTTACTGAATCACTGTATCTTCATAAAGATTCTGGACTAGTTCTATTAAAAACTTACTATAACATGAAATGTAATAAATGTGTGCACAGAGGACCGAAACCTAGAAGCAAAATCAAGATTGAAGCTCATTAGCTTCAATGTTATTAAAGCAGAAGTTCTCACTTGCACTTTTGTAAGGGCTCCAAAGCTTTACTGAAGTTATAAAAATCATAAGAGAAATTTACTTTACCCTTGATCCCTTTGGCATTGCAGTCTCATCAACCAACAGGTAAAGAATGTTGAGAGCAACTAAGAGGACTGAGATGGACTATAAAGAAGTAGAAAGTCTTGTTATTTTAAATATAAAAGTATTCCACATTTTTAAAATGCATACATTTAACCTCACCAGATTTCATAATGTTAAGTTCTTTTCAACTGGTCAAGGAGAGAATATCAAGTTTGTTGCTTAAACACGCATCACTCAAACTTTAAAACTATTCTCCCACATGATCAAAAAGTTCTTCATCATTTTTGTTGGGGAAAAATAAAAATAAAATTTTAAAAGAGCAAAAAAATCTTACTGTTTCAATCAGTAGCAATATCATAACAGCTGGATAGACTAAATTCCTTTCCCATGCAGAAGCTTTTTTCCGCCGTTCTGTTCAGAAGAGAAAAACAGAAGCTTAATACCACACATCAACTTAAAATAAAAAAAAAAAGGAGAAAAATAATTCATCTACTTATAAGCTTATTATAACTCTAGGTAAAAAAGTAATCTTTATCTTGTAGAGACACCAATCAGTTCATAAAAATATCCACCCTGAAGAGCTGTACAAAGCAATGCCAAAAATATGAAGCCTCTTTAGAGAAAGGCTGGGAAGACAGAGCAAAGCAGATTTTTCTTTCTTGTTTACAGGCATGTTTTACCGTAACATTTTTTAACCCCCTACACCCCAGCATACAGCAGTTCTGAAAAATTAAAATATACTGAATTTAAAAATATGCTGTTTGCACGTACATTTTAGTACAATCTAAAATGACAGAAGGGAATTTCAAATATTTAAACAGTATTTTCCTCTTATAAGGCAATAAAGACAATACTAAGTCACTGGACATCACTAGTATGTCTAAAAAGAAAACCCAGTAACTTTTTCTTACCACAGTCTTAGTTTTGCACATAACACACTGATAAATGCAAAATCCTGCAAGCCTTTGAATAAGTAAGGAGATTCCTGTGGAATGGCTGTCATTACCAGAAGTATCACTTTTCAGTTTTAAAAGACACGAACCTGCTAAGAATTATTTTACTGTTTTTAAATACAATTTGACTTTTATAGAAATAATTCAAAAACAGAGAGGAAAGTAATGTTTTAGATCATCCCAAATAATCATAAACATATAATTGTATATGAAAAGCTCCATGCAAGGAATTCAAGAGCATTACAATTCCTCTAAATTTGCGTTAAAAATAAGATCCAATAAAATCAGACTCCGTATTTAAATTTGTTTGTTAGAGGGGCTCACTGATTCCATGTAACATATTTGTAGAAACCAAAACAATCTGAGAGGACTGCAAACACACAAAGTGGGTTAAGAATAAACTCAAATCAATAAAGTGACTGCTACAAGCTAAACACAGCTTCTTAAGGTAATTTATTAAACTGCAATCCACATGAAACAGTAGAAAAAAGTTTATTACCTAGATTCGTTTTCTTGCTTTTCACTTTTTCAAGCTCCCGTTCCAACTCTACTGTCTGGTACTCCACTGTGGAAGATATACCTTTTAAAACAGAAGACAGTATTTTCTTTTGGATGAGACTAAATATAGTACTGTAAGACACGCTGTGACAATTCAGATTTAGGCAGCATCACATTAACACTTGTGACTTTAAAATGCAGGTGTTTCTTTGAGATTTCTCAACTACTTTTCAAAGAAACAGAGGCTTAGTGAAGAACCCTCTAATTCTGCCTAACCAGAAGAGTTCAACACATCAGAGGTTTCACAGTGTGACCTTCTGTGATCCCTGCCTGTTCTGCTGACCAGCTGCTGCAAGAAGAGAACAGCTACTGCTGAACTCTCACACATGTCCAAAAACCATTTATGGTGTGGCAGCCTGACACAGGATGTCTCAAATGCCTCCTTCTTGTATCTCTATACAATTCGTATACCAAGATGTAAAGAATCTCTGGATGCCCCTCAAGGGCATTATTACTTAGTAATTTAAAGACAAAGTGGACCTTTCCCTCCAAACTAGAAATCTCCAGTTTCAGCTTCTGCCCCTCCCTCCCCTTCCCCAGTCCTTATTACTCAAACTCAGTTTCCACACTGCTGTCCTGCTTGCTGACATATCTCCTGCTTGTATCAGTTTGCCTGACTTGGTCAGCCTGTCTGTGCTGCAGAGCTCCCTCTGACCACCAGTCAGATCTTCCTCAATATCACTCATGAGACCATATTCTTTCACCTTCCTTTTTCCAGTTTACAGTGTATACATGTCACTGCTGTGTAACAGCCGAAAACTGAAAACCACAGTACAAATCCCTTCTCCTTGATAATTTCCTGCCTAAAAGTTGCTCGGCCACTCTTCCTCTGATCCTTACACAGGCTCTAATGAACCCAGCCCACTGTCCCTCTCCATCCTTTTTCTCTTCAACCTTCCATTCTCCTCCAACCACCCATCTTTTCCAGTGCAAGCACACTGTAGTTTCTCTCCTTGATCCCAGTTCCTCCACGAACACTGCACAGTGTTCAAGCAATGATACAGCTCTGAAATGCTGACTAGAGATCTGTTATTCCAGTTCTGATCTCATTATTTCTACTTTAGCTTTTACTCTTTGCAATCACAAGATAGAAATATTCTTCCCAGGATAAATTAGAACACTCCACTCAGCCCTACTTTCATCCCTTTTATTTCTGAATAATCTCACCTGAAAATAAGTTAAGAGGGTTCATATCTTCCCTCTCTATTCCAGGCCAATTTCACTCTGCAAAAACACCATGTAGCAGTGACAGTTCAAGGTCTTAATAAACCCTAAGTGTGCTTTTACCTTTTTTGTTGATTTACACTGACACCCTTCACCTGTTGGCCATTCCCAACCCTTGGCCTCACCCCTTGATTGCAGGCTAACCTGTAATAGCACCATGCTCCTGATACCTTTTTGAAACACTCTCTAATAATTTTCCGTGTGATTAACAGTCTTGTCCAGGCTTTTATCTCGTATCTTGATCATTTACCTACAAAAACTAAACAGCACTTAGATTGCTGGCACATTAACACCACTTCATAGTCCAGTTTCATTATTTCCTTATTTTCTGTTGTGTGCTCACCCATACAGCAATCTCAGTACAAGTTAAGAAGGTAAATTTCTCATCCCATCCAGCCCTCACAATCTCTATATTCCAGCACAGTGAAGTCATACTTGAAAACCAAGATATACAAGAGTATTTTCTGGACTTTGTTTTGAAACTTTTACTCTTTACATTTCAGAGTATTAATACCGATTTATTCAATGCAGTCAAGTTATTAATGACACATCCAACTGTTTCAAAAATTAATTTTTAAATGTTTAATGGCATGCTTCTTTCACACACATTTTTGCATATAACACATAACCTCTATGTTATGCCAAAACATTTATCTTTGATGCCAGTGACATAATGTGTATGTGGCTATATTTACAGGGCTTCAAATACATACATCTCTCTATCTCAAATCCCATGACTAATGAGTAAGACCTACAAATGTTGTTTTGTAACAACTTCTATTCACTTGAAATACCTGCAATATGAATGTCAGCTTAATTTCTCAGTGTTAGTAATTGTAATATGGGGGTTTTTTAGAAAAAGTTGGATTTCTTTTAGCAAAACAAGTCTCCTTATCATTATAAAAATAAGTTTTTGTGTTGACACATTCCCTTTGAAAAAAAAGTATAATGTCTGTTTTACAGAATGACTAACTACTCTGAGTTAATAAAAAGGATAGAGCCCGGTGGAAAAAGTCTCAAGAACTTTAATGGAAGCAGTTGAAAAAGTAAGAAAACTCAAGTTAGCATCTGACATGTTATTGTCCTCCATAATTGATTTAGGGGTCTCCAAGGAAAAGCTTTATTCAAGATATATGTTGTTTCCCCCCTCAATATAAGAAGCCAGAGCTCGAAAACACTGATATTCATGGGACTCTTTCCAACAATGTCAGAATGATCACATGAGGTCCCTAAGAGACACTTGATTAGAAATTCTGAATCATATTTAAGTGCTGTTGTAGTTCCTCCTTAAAAATAGTAGCAAACAACAGGTTGCTATACAAAAGGATATTTTATGAGAGGGGAAGGCAAAGTTTCAGATCAGTCAAAAGAGTATTTGAAAAGGATGCAGCTAAATTCTTAAAAGCTCTATAACATTAGCTTTATTTCAAACACGCACAAAGTTCAATGTCAGCGCTGTCTAGCCAATAAATCAAATTGGTAGACAAGACTTGTTTGGACTAGCAATGAAAAGTTAGAAGGGATTCTCCAAGAAAGCCACAAAGCAGCTCATTTAAGGTCAATTTAACGGTATTATTCTGTTTTTCTTCCAGCCCCGACACAAGATTTCAGTACCTCAAAGGAAATTGTAAGAGTATCTATTTGCATTCCCCCTAGGTGATTGGCAGTTCAACACCAATTAGTTCAAAATTACACTGTTACTAGCGTGCAATAAAAACAACACCTTTCATCTTTCTTACATAGGTAAGGATACCTTCAGAGCCAATAACTTTGATCAAGTAAGTATTTTTGATCCTACCCCACCCGTCTCTTTGGATTCAGGAAAACTAATAGCTGAAGGCAACTTTTTTCTTTTAATATAAAAAAGTCCCAGCTTTATTCTTCGACTGTAAGAGTGATGTGGGTACTGAAATATAATACGGTAGAAACAAACATTTTCCCAAAGCCCAGTATCTCTTCAATCGATAAAAATACTAGGGTAGATAACACGATCAAACTTTCCCTTCCCTCCTCCTCCAATTTTCAGTTTTACACTGTAGACATCTGAGAAGAAAATTAGTTTCTGCAAAGAAGATATGCAGTTTCCCAGATTTATTTTCAAATATGAAGAGCTTTACAGAACACTATCCATTGCATCACTGCCACAGTAGTTACATCTATATGAATCAAGACCAGCAGCAGCTCACACAGCTAAACTTTTTTCCTCCTCTAAAAGCAGAGGCTTTGCCCAGCCTATTTAGTGGGAACAGTGATTCATGTTACTCCCTATGTCCAGGCATTATCTGAGGAAACATTAAGACAGGGCAAAGCAGTTATAGAGGTTTGATAGCAATTATTCTACCAAGGAAGAAAAAAAAAAAAAGATCTGCATTGACAGTCATCAAGTATCACTTAAGCTTGTGCTCTGGTCCTCTTCAACTTTAATATAAATTCAGCTCTTTAGTTATACATATAAATGGAGTATATATTTCAGAACACTTTATTGTAAAACTGTCCAGCAGGGTTAAACACATGTATTTCTACTACCACAACTGTGGAAGAGTTGCAACTGCCATGGCATAGGAGGCGTGTAGCCTAATATATCCGCTCTGATACAGCAACAAAAATACTTACATAATCTGTGTGTTAAATCATAGATTATGGCCTCTAACATCACAGCACTACATTTACTGATGTAATTAGCACCGTACCTCCATTTTTACACATTTTTAAAAAATACAGTAAATGTGATAAGCATGATTCTTCATAGTTCTGGAAAAAAACAGTACCTATTTTTCTGGCATAATTCATAGGTATTAGAAAGACTTCTGGCAGAGAAGATGAAGCTTTCCATGCCTGCCACATAAATGTGTGTATGGATTGTACTTAAAATTATTTAATTGCTCGCAAAAATTTTGCAGAATATCTTCTTGCTCATACAACATATTGCCCCTCACCTACATGCTACAACCAAGTTTAGGTTTTTATTTACTTCTCAGCTTAAGTCCATTCATTTTCTCATTACACCAAACTGGGCTTTCAAGCATTCCATCAGATGGTGGTGCCAATACCATTCCCTTAGCATGTGAAACAGAAGAATTCAGTTCCTTCTCTTGTCAAAGGACATTTAAGCCCCACATCTTTCACCTCTCAAGAGTAGGTTGGTGAGAGCTCTGTGGGACATGGGTGGGTTGCAGTTCCACTTTACATTGAACACTAACCGATTTGCTGAAAGAGAAGCCAGTCTTGCAGCTAGTGGTTAGGGGAGCCCCCTGCACACTCCAGACGCAGTCAGCAGATGCCTACAAACAGACTAGGTCCACCTCACGAGTGATATTACTGGATTGCAATGTAAATAACTTGCATAGACTTCTATGCAGAAAAACAGCAGAAAATCATCACCTAAATAATCACATTCTCCACCTGAACAGCAGAAACCACCTTGTACTACTTCTAAGATATCTCAACAACTATTTGGTCATTTTTCTGTATTGCTTTACTCGTACATAAGCACAATCACCATGACAACATAAAATATTCAGTAACAAATATTTTACAGTTGCTAGCTAACATCAAACACACAGAACAATTATAATTACCCCATCACACCTTCAAAGACATTCACTGCATGCACCTTTGTGCGTCTCTATGTGAATGCGTATATATACGCGTGTCCATATAAAAACATAACCTTCCAAAACAGCAAAGGTGAACATTGCTTTTAAACTGAAACCATGGCTGATTTTAACAAAGAAGTCACTTCTCCACAAATTTTAAACTCTGGAATAAAGACGACCACCATGATGTACTGTTATCAAAGGTACTTCCCCTGACCAAACAAACAACTTCGAAAGAAGACTTATTGAGACTTGAAAGAAGAAAAGATTGAGATATATGACAGAAGACTGAAGAGTAAGAGAAAAAGGCAGTAAATTAAGAAAATTAAGGCTAAAATAAGTCATAACACAACAATGGATGTGTTCTGACATGAATATTCTTTGGTCTTCCAACCTGAAGCAATTGTATTAACTGTGGATAGATAGCTTATCCATGCAGTTAAAAACAATTCAGAAGAAAATTTGTAAAACATGATTTCCAGGATTGTGGAATCGATACATTTTCTATAATTGGTGCCTGCCATGCTGAATACTCTTTCTCTTAGAAGCCAAATCTTCATACTGTTTTTTAAATACTTCAAAATAGAAACACATTATCAGTAAGTGCAAAAATGTAATATTAAATGCAAGAAGTCTAAAACACTTGTATAATTATTCATTAATAGAATTATTAAATATTATTAAATTCACCAAATAACTCCCAGAATATAAAGGACTGCTCTGATGTATAATGAATTATTACCTAAGATTCTAAATTATAATGAACTGAAACAGAAAAAAAATCCTTCAAATAAAACCCAAAATTCATAACGCAGGAAGTTGAGCCTCTTGATAATATAAGTTCTTTGTTCTTCAGACAAGGCTAATATACAGTCATTTACCAATCCAAACTATTTTGCAGTAAGGGTGGTAGGTCTGGCCAGCTACTCAATTTGCTGTCTCAGAATAGTCACATATTAGAGCTGATGAACATGTTAAAAACAGAAACAAAGCAAACCACACACACACAAGGGCCAATCTTAACACAGTGAGCAACGAAATGTTAGCCTATAATGCTCGTTACACGCTAAGGTGTTGAAATTTTCTATTTTGAGAAAAGAGGCTGTGTAACATTGAGATCAATACTCCTGGCCAAAACCACTCTGCTCTAAATACTGTATTTGAAGCAGTATCAGAACAAGCATACCATTAAGCCTCCTCTGAATTGCTTCTTCCTCTAAAGTGATGATATACATCTGCTCATCTAGGTCTTCAAGGATCTGTATTTGGAAACAGAAACATGAACTATCAGTCACTTGTTTTTCTAACCACACTAGTCAGGCTCATTTTGTTCTAGTAACCTATATTTTAAATATATAGTCTACAACTTTATAATACCGATACAAAGAAAAACTCACAAAAGATTATTCCATTCTGTTACAGATCTAGTTCTTTACTGTAAGCAAACTTCCTGTTAAGTTTTCATTTCAGGTTAAAGCTCTTACGCTTAGTTTCAATCTAAGGAGACTTAGGGAACGGGGAAAGAGACATTCTATCTAACCTATATTCAAATCATATCAACCTTCACACTCAATCTGATTTAAACAAAAATAACTGCTGATTTTGAGAAAGTATATTAAAAAGTGACTTTTCACATAAGCCAGTATTTCAAGCAAATATAAATTGCTATTGGAAGCTAAAACCAAATAAATCAAGTCTGTCTACCTTACCATCAGGTGCTTTGAGTTTAAAGCTCACAGACAGCAAATCAGTATATATTTTCTTCATATTTTCTGGGTTGAACTGACTAGTGAAAAGGAACATGAGACCCCAGTACACTCAAATTTTAGTAAGTGCAAACTAGGAGACATGACAGCAAAATCACTAGAGCATTTCTACATGGTACAAGCTTCTCCCTTCCCTAGCAGCATCCAGTACAAGAACAATAGAGTATCTATGTATAAGAAGTTCTTACAGATGCCAACTACCTACATTTTACCCATCTAAGTGTACCCCCAGGTACCCTTCTTGTTATTCAGCCTTAGTTTGGCCCTGTATGCTTTGCTCCTGAAGTCAGAACAAGCCCACACTTTTCAGGTATTTGCAAAACAGACTTAGTAAGCAATACTGGCAATAATTATTAATACTAGTAGCAGTTATATAAATTGGAAAAATCAGAGGAAGTCTACACCATGTAAAAAGCCTTTTTCTGTGGAAAACGGGCTTTTGTGCTCTATGAAAAATTTTAAACAAGTACACAAATATTGACTATAGAAACTCCAATGAACTGGAGAGAATTATGTAGAAGTGCAAGCATTCTCAATGAAAGTACCCTAATGCCATTCTACCACCTAACAGATAGCACACAAGCATAGGTTGGTGTAACACTTACTGTCGGCTTCACCAGCAACTGACCCATTACTGTAAACATCCGTGAAAGTCCCACTGGCGTGCATACTGCAGAGGAAGACAGATTATGCAAAACAATGATTTGTAAGTCAAAGACCAATGTTTAGTCAGATGTTCAACATGCTATTCCACTTATAATCAAGCACGATTTTGAAGATAACTGCAAGAGCTTCAAACTCCAATATGAACTTTAAAACACATTGCTATCATATGAATTTTGAACAAGGCAAGCATCTCTCCCCTCCAAGAGCATAACTGAATTTTTTGTCAACAAGGAACACCATATAATCAGATATCTTAAACTTGCTCAAGTAATTATTTATTCAAAGCATGTGGCACCAGAGGCTATGTCTACACTAATATCAGCAGTGCCAGGATACATTCCTGGGCATTAAGACTTGATTGCCTGCACCAGTAAATTGCTAAAACTACGCCTGGCATGATTTGCCCTGGGCCACTTAGCACTTTCCCAAGCAATTCTCTGGTGCAGTTCTGGAGTTCATGCAGTCCAGGAACCATTATCATGAGGCAATATGTGCACAGCCACCTTCTGCAAACTGCAATATCATGGATGGAATGGCACCACTTGGCCACAGCACTGGGGAACATCTCAGACACATTTAAACTGTTAGCACAGGTGTAGCTGTAAGGTCAGGAGGTCATGAAGCTGCTTTGCTCTGAAAATTACACTGCAACTTCAGATGACAGTAGGCTCAGCTACCAGATTTTTAGCTACTTTTGTATGAAGTAATAATTGGCCCTTTTTGACTGCAGCCTGTGATGGTTTCCAGGTATGGTGCACATATGCTTGTTGGAAGAAAGGCTCAAACCATGACAACAGAAAACTGTTAGTAAAAATCACCACTTTAGGGAGAACAGCCTTCAAATACTGAAATGTGTAGGAGATGGAGGGTATCTGTAACAGCATGAATGAGGATATACATTTATAGTTTCCATTATAATAAAAATGTTGAAAAAAAAAAAAGCACACAAGATTTTATAGTGAGGATTACATTTATTTTTATTAACTAGCATTTCACTATGACTACTATGTATTACAGGAAAAATACAAGAATATTCAAAAAGGCTAACTTAAGCTGGTCTTCCTTTACTACTGAGGAAGCCTGCAGGAAAATGAGAAAGAGAAAGGAAGAAATGCTCCAAATCACCACCACAACAAGCCTTACTCATGCACTACTTCAGCAAATAAGCCAACTGAAGATCTAATGAGGCTCTACCCCAGCATCTACCACTTTCCCTCTGCTGTATGCTGCCGTTTCAGCTACACAGATAAAACAGTTTTGGAGGGCCGTAAACAACTTCAGTGATCTGCTTGTATAAGTTGCAAATAACCCTTCCAAAAATTGGCATTTAATCCCAATTATTTTGGTGAACTGGTTTACAATAGCCTCAGAACACATGCTATGTTTTCAGCTCTGCTGAAAAACTGCAAAACAGATGTAGGAATTTTGTAAGCCAACTTCTCCATAAAAATATTCAGTAGCTGTTGTGAATCGCACTCTTGAACAGCATACATGAGACTTTCAGAACCACTTTTTTTTTTACTTTGCTCCCTCCCTCCATGAAAGCGGATGTAAGAATCTCCACGTACCTGCATCTTAAGGAGATTCACTGAAGTCTGTGAGCAACACCTTTCACAGACAGATCTGCTTAGTTTTAAGGATGTTTCAAACTATCATTCCCCACCCCTTCTTCATAGTAGCAGGCCTGTAAATGTTAGCTGTAATCCTATAAAGCCTGTAGAACTGGTGAAACCACAATAATCTAGCAAAGATGATGCTCTGTCCCTCTCAACAATTTTTCTAGAAATTATTTGGGGATGGCAAGAGTGGGAGCTAAAATTACAAGTGGGATTTGGAACCTTCCACCATTTTTCTTATTCCCCTAAACATGGATGACTGAACTCTGACTAGGACCAGTCAGTATAATATTGGGGTTTTTTATGGCATTTGTTTTATATGCAATCGTATAACTGACCTCCAGACTGGCCAGATAGCTTTCATAACCACAAAACTGGTAACTGCACTGTTTTACAAGTTCTGTCTCTACAGGAAGATTTTCAATTAAAAAACGAAGAAGGATCATTTACTGAATATAGGACAAACTAAGCGTCCCAAAATAACTTTCTCTCCATACTACTGACCTCCTGCAGACATTTAATATTAAAATTGTGGTTTTCTTTGCAGAATTGAGCCCAAATTTTTCAAATACCTGCTTTAAAGAGTTAAAAATTTAAATTATTTCAGGTGAGGTGTGAAGTTCTCAAAAACTGAAAGTATAAGGTAGCATTTGTTCACAAACTTCAGAACTCAAACCTAACAAATTTGCATCTAAATTTAAACTTAAGAATGGAAAAAAAAAAAAAAGCACACACCATTTTTCACACTCAACTTTTGCAATCTTAATTTTCACAATAAAAAACAGTTTCCTTTAATCTTTAAAAAAATATAAAATCATTAATTTGGGGGGAAATACTCACACAGAAGTAACAAGCATCCCATCAGTGATATACAGGAATATAAATATGGGAGGTAGAATTCCCAGAGGTCTGTAAAGAAAGTATTGAGCACAGCCTTAGCTTATTACAAACAGGATACTTATGTCACAAACACAGCTGAATTAACTTCTTTTCTTAAACGTTCAGGATTGAACAACTGTATTTTCAAGAATAAATTAAATATTATTCAGTTAATAATTCTGCATGCAACTAAATCCCCAAGTACTTTACCTTGAAAAATATTTTCAGCTTTATACTTCCATTCCTCTCAAGTCACTTGTTTTTAACATGCATCGTGTCCACAAGAGCATGGAACTTCTCAGCATGCTAAAAATGGTATGGACTAAATTAATACAGCTTCTTCACAACCTGTGCAATACTCACATAGCATTTACTAGAAATACATTTAATTGAAAACATCAATTTCCATAATTAAAATGAAACTACTGTGGTGGGTTTTTTTTAATTCCATACCGTACAAAGACTCCATACTGGCAGCATCATTGTCTATGAGTGCTGAAGCCACCCATACAATTCCAAGGATAAGCAGTGCAAGAAGAATAAGCATTACAAGGGTTTCCAAAATGCGTGCTCTGATGCCCTGTGGGCAGAAGAGGGGAAAGGGAAAAAAGAACACAGCCAGAAACTTTGAATCAGATATTTTCAAAGGTAAGAAAAATACAAATAAATAGCAGTTCCTTCTTCCTAAATACATACTCACATTTTATCATGTAGACAAAAGCACAACATGTAATACACATTTAAAAAGCAGAGCATAAAAAGAGGAAGTACTTACAGCTTTATAGTGCTCAGATCACATTTTTCCCCTTAGAACTGTAGAAAAATGTTTTAAATTTCATATGCCTTAGAGTTTTCATTAATCTCATTATTCCATAGAGTATTCTTTATACTATATGATTTTGCTTGAGCATTTTTAAAAGATGGATTACTTTTCTAATACTTTCAGCAAAGAAAGTGGATTAGCAAATTTTTATCTATGATTCCAATCAAGGGAATGGAAAGCCAATTATGGCAAATAGCCAAATGGCCTAGCAAGCATTAAACCCTGCACAGGTACAATGTACCAATTTAGTTAAAATACATTCTTCAACTGCAATTGCTTCTGCATCATTCCTCACAGTCTTCAGAGCCCTCAAGTGTACGGTCGGAGTAATGCTCACTCTTAGTCTGCCCAGAAGCTGCTGCTGCCGCCACATCCATTACCTCCCATCTTGGCAAGCTCCGTGCCGAATGAAACACCTCTCGCTTACAACACACACAAATTACAGCTCTAAAAAGTTTTATCTCCTAGAATTTGCTCGAGTCTAAAAATGTAACAACACTCTAATAGTTAAGTGTTAGACTTGCAAGTGTAAATATACCAAATAATACACAATATTTAATTTTTTTTTACGGGTGTTTTTAACACTAATTTTACTAATGTCAACATAATGTCAACAACAGAGCTATTGGAACACTCTTCAGGCAGCCCTGCCATTAAGGGACCAGCAGATTGCTGTGCACATAATTTTCTTTTATTTTTCTTCATTTGCCAATATACATCTCCAAAAGCAAACCCAGTCTCTTATTTCTCACACAAGTTGATCCCAACTTGGTCATATTCCACTGCCAAGTCTACTTTATAGTTAAGACCACGTTTGTTTAATTTTATTGTTTCCCCTACTTTTGTCACTTCTTCCCTCACTGCTTAACACAAGAGGGTAACCTTAACATGACAGTTACCCTGAAAATTATTCTCCCTATATAATCACTGCATCCAACCATGAACAAGGACCTTGAGCATCCTAACCATGAGCACTGATCTCTTCTAGCACACCAATTCCTCTCTGCCATGAGTCTTCTGCAGAACAGCTAAGGTAGCACTAAGGAAAAGCAGAGACCTTCGCAAAATTCCCCTTAAGTGGTCAGATTAAGCCCAACTCCATAAATTATCTCAAAGACCAAATTTCAAATTAAAGGTAGTACAGACAGGATATGGATTTACTCCTAGAATGTATTTTGTGTATAATAAAAGTGGCTTTGAGGTTGTTAAAAGTTATTAAAATGTTGGTTTTGTGGTGCTCAGAAAATATAGTTTTCAGTCTTCCATGAGTTATTCTGAAGGTGAGCATCTAAACCAAATTGAAGATTTGATGATTAAATAGTCATATGTGTAATATTAAAATTTTGAACTTGAGTAATGTTACCAAGAAATAAACAGGTTATAGTCTAAGTACTGAGCATTGATACAGAGCCTTCACTTTACAACAGAAGAAAGTCACGTGATTAGAAGTAGCCCAAAACATTCAAGGATGCATACAGAGAGATCTACTTCAAGCTTTCCAAAAACCTTGAAGACTCCTTTCCTTTCCCAGGCAGAGGAAAATATAAAGCTACCTTCTGGGTTTTTAAAAGCTTTGGCCACAAAAAGTGGATTCCTTACTGCCCTACTATGAGACACATGCACAAATCCCAGCCTCTTTGACTTCAAGCTTCACAGCAACACATTCTTCTGGAAAAAACTTAATTTTACATGGTGACCTGAACAACAAATTTTCCTCCCCTGGATGGAGTAGCACAATTGTCAAAACAGATAAACAAGAAAAACACTGTGATGGAGATAAAATATATTTTTTCATATCTACTGCAAGTGTTCTCTAAAGACAGGTAAGATTAAAACAATACAAATAACACTCTCCCTCAAAAAAAGATATGACCACAGCAAGTAGCTGGAGGTAACACTGCTTTTCGCCAAAAGTACCATTGGCACAAACTCTAGAAAAAGACAGTTAGCCTTCCCCATATTTTGGTTTCCATGCAAGTTTGAACAATCTTTGATTCTCGGAAAGTTGGATCAATCTCCCCCTGTTCTCACCAGTTAACACCTATCTCCACAACTATGTGATATATCAACAAGACTGCAGTCTCATGCACGTATTAAAAAGCAGGACTGACAGTTCACTCCAAGGGCAGAACAATTTTTATATTGCACAGCGCGCACACACACACAATAGGATTTCACATACTGATAATAATTTAAAAATAGCAGTACTTTAAAAATTTCAGTGAGGTGACTAGATAGACCCATTCTGTCATAGGCACTAGTGAATACCTGGTAACAGTCCAAGATAAAGAGAGATGCTTAAAGCATATCGGTAAACACTTAACCTCAATTAGGCATCCAAAAGACTGTGTCCTGTTAAAACATTCATGTTCCAGGCACATTAGTTCATACTTACATACATTAGTGTACCTGTCAAATAGCTGCTATTTGTAAGGAAGGAAAGGTACAAAATTTCCCCACATACACACACAGAGAAAACTTCTGGAGAATTGCAGAACAGCTGAGGTTGGCAGGGACATCTGGAGGCCACCTGCTCCAAACCCCCTGGCTCAAGCAGGGCTACCTAGAGCTGGTTGCCCAAGACTGGATCCAGGTGGCTTTTGAGTATCTCTGAGATTCCACAACCTGCCTAGGCAGCCTGTGACAGTGCTCAAGCACTCTCACAATAAAGAGGGGAGAAAAAAAAAAAAAAAAAAAAGCAGTGAGAATTGAGCCTTAGACACCCTTACTACATTTTATTTTTGCTGAAAGTAGTTTTGTTTGTTCAGGTGAAACATTTAAAGCTTGAATATTATCATTAGTAACATCACTAATTTAACTGCTGAGCAAAATTGAAAAATTGATACTCCTGACTTTGAGAACTGAGAGAAAACAAAAGGTAAATACAAGCAACGTTACATTTTATTTCAATGAAAGTAAAACTATGCAAATCTTTAAATTCAATAATGATTTTTTTTTTTTCTGAGCAAAGTCCTCTTCACTGATATTTTGGTTGTAGCTTAACATTTCTTCAGTCATTTCACTTCTCTCCCACAGCCTCATTATATTACTCAGCATAAATACAGGCTGGGCAATGAATGGATGAAGAGCAGCCATGCAGAGGAGGACTGGGAAGTACTGGTGGATGGAAAACTATGAGCTGGCACTGAGTGCTCACAGCCCAGAAAGCCAACCGTACCCTGGGCTGCATCGAGAGCAGTGTGGCCAGCCACAAAAGGGAGGGGAATCTCCCCCTCTGCTCTGCTCTTGTGAGATCCCACCTGGAGTGCTGTGTCCAGCTCTGGGGCCCCCAACATAAGAAGGACACTTGGCCTTCCAATGCTTAAAGGGGCTACAGGAAAGGTGGGGAGGGACTCTTCATAAGGAGGTGTAGTGACAAGTCAAGGGGTAATGGTTTTTAACTGAAAGAGGGTAGATACAAGGAAGAAATTCTTCCCTGTGAGGGTGGTGAGGCACTGGCACAGGTTGCCCAGAGAAGCTGTGGCTGCCCCCTCCCTGGAAGGGTTCAAGGCCAGGCTGGACGGGGCTTTGAGCAACCTGGTCTGGTGGAAGGTGTCCCTGCCCATGGCAGGGGGCATGGGATTACATGATCTTTAAGGCCCCTTCCAAACCAAGCTGTTCTGTGATTCTATGAAATCTATGTAGTACATACATTCATTTATTAGATTTATGGCTCTATTAGTAGAGCTGTTTTCATATGCAATGAGACTTTTTGCACTTTTCTTTGCAGCTTTTCTTTGTTCTTTTATCTCCAGTCCTGGCTTTAAACAAAGGCAAAGGGACACAGCTAGGGCCATCCTTAGATAAGCATGAACCACAATTTGAGGACAGTGATTTTAGTTTCAGTAGATCAATTTTAAAGTCTTTTTCCATGAAGGTATCTAGAACGAAATATCAACTTTCCTTGCTTCCAGCACTACAAGCATGTAAGATGATCTTTGGTAACTGTTAAACAGGAAAACAAAAACACATCCAACAGCTTGCAGTTTCCTCAAGTGAGTTTCAGATTATCCATGAGGAAAATGGACTTCTGAAAGTGAATTACTTGAGTAATTTCCTATTGTCAGGGAAGCAGAAGCTTGGGTTCATAGAGGCCAACTTGACACATTAAATGACTCTCTTGTCGAGGATGGAAAAAACAAACAGAAAAGTTCAACAAAAATGTTTTGGAAGCTAATTACTATAATTTGATAGAAATCACAATTAATGTGTTTATCAAGAAAAACTGAGGAAAAAAGACTGGCAGATAATACACTAACCCACTCTTTTTTTTTCTTTTTTTAAACTTCAAAGTTTCACAGTTTAGACTTAACACCTCACCTACATTTTTACTCACAGCACATTTTCAAAATCCACCTAGTTCTTTAACATGAATGCTTAACCAATGAATTATTTATTTTAAAGGAAAGATGTTTAACACATCAACCCCAGAAGCCTGGAACTTGCCAGAAGCCTAGTAGTATCTGTTGTCATCTCTGTACACAAATGGAAAGGTAGGGGTGGAGATGACTAAAAAGAGCATTTGAAGCTCTCAAGGCAGGCCTACAAATAAAAGCTGTCCTACAAGCACATTCTAAGGATTGTGTGGTTTCTACAGCCTCAGATATACCTGACTCTCAGACTTCTACTTCTTTAAAATTCAACTGCTGAGACATTCAGAAGTTTTTATATTGTTTAACCCTGAGCTACTTAAGCTGCCTGGAGCAGTGGACCAAAGGGTTCATGTTTCCAGAAAAGCCTAATTTTAGCAAGAAAGG